TATCTGCTATATGTCAGCATGTTACGTAAATGTTGATTGCTAATTGTCATATCCTGAATGTGTCATGGATCATTTCGTGGGCACATATATAATGGAGATGTTACATAAACCCATGATAAAGAAGGTTTTTTTTTCTGTCTTTATGATACCAACACAATGCAGCATATAAAATGCTTAAATCGTTAGAGGATCGGTTTGTTAAAAATACACCGAAAAGAAGATAAACCTGTTGAATTAATGAGAACAGATTTACATTTGATGTGCGTGTTGTCTCGTTTACAGTGGTTGGACCTTGAATTACAGACCACATTTTTCTTTTGTGTCCCCGGGATGATTTGATGTCTGTGTCGATTTTCTGTTGTCATTTTTGGTGGGATTTAAGATCTGATCCAGCTGCATCAAACAAGAGCAAAGTGCAGGTATACAGGAAGCCGCAGAAGAACATTTGATCATCCTGGCCCGGAGAAGCTAAACCTCCATGATGTAACCGAAGGCCAAAGATTAACTTGGGACAGCACATGCAGTCTTCAAAAAATTACACCCCAAGAAAAAAAAATAATTTAAACTGGAAATGACACATGCCCACACTTTCACTCTCAACTCTTGCTCACTCACACACAGAGAAACACACATCTCCATGGAAACTGATAAAAAAGAATAGCTGGTGTGCAGGAAGAAGAGACTGACAATGCATGCAGAAAAAAAAAAACTTGGATGGTCAGCAAGAAAGAAATTTATTAGAATGAGAAAAGAAGGATTTGAGGAGGTCGTCAGTCAGAGGAAATGTTTATTTAACCTCCTTAGAATGGAAATAAAACAACACCATAATACTAATGTAAGCCTTTTGAATTCACAAGAGGGAACCCTTAAATACTCTCAACTTTTCCCATGTTTTTGCTTTTTTTTAATACGGACTACATGCAGGAATGACAGCAGTTGGAACTGAAAAAAAATAGCTTAAAGCAACGCTGCAAATCGGGCAGAATAGAAAGCAAGCAGAGAGACTTAAAGGGATGAAAGTTGCGCGGATGGTGCAGATAGCAGAACAGAGAGGGTGGGCAACAGAAGAGGGGAGAGGACAAGGGAAGGAGTACAGCACAGTACACCACCTACGTTCGTCTCCATGGCAACTACCACACTAGAACGAGTGCTAATGCTCTCTCTCTCTCTCTCTCTCTCTTCCTTTTCTGAAAACTGTTCAATTGGTACCATATGCAGTGTGCAGTATGTGGGAGAAGTATCCTGTTGTTTCACATGATATGAGGAGATGTTCTCAGCAGCTCGGAAAAAACCTGAGCGAATAAATATTTTGACTGCATACGTTACATCCGCCTATCCACCAGAGATGTCGGCTTAGCCTGACACTGAATTCATAATCATCTCGCTTTAAGGGATAACTTGTTATTTCTGCATTAATGTGGGGTGGTTTTTTTTTTTTTTTTATTACACCAAAGCAAGTGGCAAGCTGTGTGGGCAGCAGTTTGCTTTCAAAGAACAAAGTATTGAGGTTGAGAAAATGAAAATTCATGCTAAAATAAACACGTGTTTCCCAAATGTAGTCCATGCTGATACTGTTGGGTGTGAATTAAAGCGACACTGTAACAGCTCAAGCACGTTTAACATGCTTTCTTTCTGCAGCATGTTCTTTGAAATCAGTATGAGTGTGCTGTTGAAAACAATCTAACCAGAGGCGTTATTGTGCTAGAATGTGACAGCAGTGTGTCCTTCATTGCACAAAGTCACATATAATGTGTGCTAAATCTAAAGTCTGTACCATTAAGGGGGCTGGAGGAATTATTTTAGACAATCCTTGCTACACCCACCGCTCCTTTTTTTAGCCGTCCATCCAGGGGCCCTTAAGTCTATTCTGGACTCTTTTTTCCTGCTTGTTTGAATACCAAAGCAGCACAGTATGCTGCTGTTAGCATAGCCAATACTTCATCCTATTACAATCAAATTTGCAGAGTTGGGTCACCGAATCATACGGCGGGGTATTTTCTTATTAGTCTGATCTATTGTCATTTGACATGAATTGTATTTGGCAGACGGTCGTGATTAATCCAAAGTACAATCAGTCTGTCACTGTCAGCCGATGACAGCGGGTAAGATCGGCCGTCGGGCGCTCAAGCGGAAAAGACTTCCAGATGGCTGCTCTGCCTCTGCTCATCACTTCACAAACAATTTTTGTGTCATGACAGCAAACATCTGACTGCCTGGAAATGAAAGTTAAAAAAAGATCTTTATCCCTCAAGTCATTTCAACAGCTTTGTTTGGTCGAGGCACAGGCTAGTTTTACTGTGACATTTTGGTCGGAATGATAACTTAACATATTTATGTGGATGCCTATCACTTAAAGGATTAATTACTGACTCATCCGTCCTGACAGAAAAGGACTCAGTGTGCACCTACACCTGTGTAAAAAGACATCATTTGAGAATGTCGTCATTAACACAATCTTAAAGGAATTGAAAAGAATTTGATCTCTAGTAATCTAAGAAATAAATACTGCTAAGACTGCAAATCATACCTATTTTGTTTTTTTCTTCATCCTCAGATAAGGAGCTGCATTTACAGATTCATTCTTTTGCAAAAGTATCTACCCTAATGTCTGAGTAGTGCTTGTCACAGTGTCCTTAAGACCAAAATGAAGCCATCAAATATCTGGTTTTGTAACACCTACAATCTGATAAACCAAAGATACCCAAACTATGTGCAAACATTCTTAAAAGTGACAAATTGGAACCAAGATTGGGAACCTGATAGTCTAGACAATGTAATCAATGAATTATCAAATGATTTGTTTCAGCTCTTAACTGATTACTCTAATGTTTTCCAAATGCCTGCAGTCAAAAACCTATTTTCCATTTTCAGAAACACGTTTTCACACACAAAAGTGTATTCCTTTAAATAAATTATCAAGTTGTGTTAAATCCCTGAATAAGAAGCCACCATCACCTAAAGCAGCCTGGATTCACAGGGTCTGACGTTTTTGGTGCATTAGGTCAGGACTCAGGGGAAAGGGTTCTACATGAGATCCTGAAGAATGCATCTCACATTGAGGTAAAGAACATCACAGTCAGGTTGAGTTTGTTTTCATCAACAGTCTTGATACTTCTGAGGAGGAACAGAGATGTGGTTGACTGCTTCTCGAAGAGCTCTGCTCAACATCATCAGGACATTACAGGAACAGCAGGGGAAAATCCGCATGAGTGCAACATGAATCTTTTGGCAAGCGGCGTCACAAACAGAATTGTGGGAGCTTTCATGCAGAGGTAAAATTTCAGCCTGAACCATCTGCCGAGGGCTAAAGTGACATGAAGGCAGACTCGGCAGGATTTGCACCTGAAACTCCAAAAGGAATTCAAGGTCGGCTTCGTCGGTGAGCCGTGACGCCGCCCGGCTTCATCGATCATGTGCCCGGCTGAAGTGTGAAAGTCAAAACTGTCATCAGCAGCTGAAGAACAACCTTTTATTTTTATACTAATATAGGACATCATGTGGAAAGGTACTGGAGCAATGGGCATGTTTGTTTTACCCTTGAGTGACTAAAAATTAACATTCATTTTGTTCCCCTAGAGAGCTTTTATGTAACAGATGCAGGACAAAAATGGCCAAAAGCTAGAGGACACAGTGTGCAGCGGAGTGATTCTCCATCAGTGTGTGCTGGGGTCAAAGGTCGCTCTGGTAGTCAAGCTCTTGTTGTTGTTATTGTGATCGTTCCCTGAGAGAACAAATATAGGAAACCTTATTTAAGGCCCCAGAGGATTTCACAGAGCGGCATTGTCCGCTGTAACACTCGAGACTAAAGCTGCAACAAACTTCTGTTATTAACCAGGATCAGAAATAACATCTTTTATGAAGGCTTCACAACCAGCTCAGACAAACTCAGCACGGCTGTAAATAGACTGTCTGGCTTATATAAATGCTGCCATGAGATGTGACTGGAAGTATTGAGATGTCTGCTCTGCACCGTTAAGGCCCTGAGCAATTAGTGGAACATTTTAATTACCGCTGAAATGTAAAGTATCAGACTAACCATTAGAAAAAAGGAAAACAATATAAGAGAAAGAAAGAAAAGGTTTGCTGAGTTTAATAATTCAAGGCCTGTCGTTCTTTTCAGATTTAACAATGAGCAGGAGAAAAGAAGAATAATGACTTTGCGTGCTTTGATCAGTTCAAAATGTCACAGTGACTTGTCAGGTGAAGGCAGGAAATTAAAACTCATGGGCCCATTTTTTCTCAAACTCTCCAACGTGATTTCAGCGATGGAGTTTTGACTAAACGGGAAATCAAAGCTTTTAAAAACGTTTTTTCATTTGTGTATTTGGCTAGAGAACTTTTGATGAGAGGGGGAAGATTTGAGATGGATTGGATGAAATGATACAGGTTGTATTCTGACTTCAAGGTGGTTCACATTTTAGAAAAAGTTTAACCCATTAAAACTAAACAGATTTAGATTTTTCAGCATGCTTCTCTGGGAGTGAAGGTTTTGTGTGCTTTAAACTTCATCATGTGGATCTTGGCTGCACTAAACACTTTAAACATAAACAACTTAAATGTCTGTGGTGCTGATTGTATGCTTTAATATTTGTTGTATTATCTAAGCAGTTTTTTGTATGTTTTTAGGGTATTATTTACTTCAATAGTTTTAGAGTAATTGATTTAATTTTGTTAAAACCAAAAATCCTGACAGTGGAAACATTGAATTGAAGTATGAAAAAAAGAAAAATCAAAAGCTGCCGATGTGCCGAGCTGATGGAGACCTGCTGAGCTCCAAATCACAAACCTGTATTTCTTTCATCCTCTCAACCTGGATATGTCAGGGTGTTAATGGACAATAATTGATTTCTGTATGAACAGATAACACCAGTCATGTTTTTCATGTGGTTTTTACAGAAATGCCACAACTCAACTCTGAGTTTATGCCATCCAGTCAGCTGCACAATAAATCCTTATTGTCACCGAAGCTTTGTATGGATTGAGATACGAGTACTGTAGGCTATTGTTCAAAGCAAATTTATTGATTTCACGGTTTGAACAGTGACTTCTTGTTGTTTTTTTTAAAGTCAATGAGTCAAGCCACTCTACCTGAACTAGCACATGTAAAAAAAGAAGCATGGGTCTATCTCCTGAATCCGCTGTAAATGTGATCTATGTTCCCACGGCACTCTGCTTAACAACCATTTTCTGTCGGGCACCCTTCGCTGCAGAAGAGTCCAGGCCCGTCGCCCCTCCCGATGTGTTTGGAAATCCGTGTGCGGCCACGTATTTGCGGTACGCTTCCCGGATGATGCGGAAGGCTCGCGCGTTAGCGTAAGGAATGTCAGTGACCGGGTCTCTGTACAGTGCGGCCTTGTGGGTAACGGGACAAACCTCCTGGACGGGCGGCTGAGGACTGGACTGTCCGCTGTGTGGAAAGGCAGCTTCGAAAGGTTCGTCATCGCTGAATGTTATGTAAGTACGGGAGCACAGGCCTCCTGCAGACTGCTGGGAAGGTGTGGTGGGATTCTGTGTTGCAGCCTGAGGGACATCCTGATCCAACCTTCAGGTACAGCAAAATACCAAAATCACAATCTTTTCATAAACACACTGTATGCTGTTTGTCTCATAATTCATTTCTTCTTCCTTTTTCTGTGTTTAAATCAATGCCAAAAGACAAAAATAATTATCTTGAACAAATTATGTTTTGGTATATAATAGTTGAAAACAGATTAAATACTGAAGGTCGATGCAGCCGGAGCAGATTAAAGATTATGAAACATAAAACAATGGTTCAACCAGGTCAGATTTCTATCCCTCAAATTATTTTCTGAATCCGATTATCTCGCAGTTGATCAAACTTACCCTTCCACATCCACGTTTTCTTCTTTTAAGACCGAGTGAGAGACCAGCGGCATCAACACCGAGTGGTAACGGACAGTTGGTCCTTCGAAGCGCCGTTTCTTGTGGACTTGTTTCTTTTTGTCTGCTTCCAGACGCTCATAGTTCTCTGCACACAGAATGTAAAACATACAGGGTCACTATTTTACCAAGTCGAAGTCATTAAGTGAAATAATAAAGAAAAAACACCAAGAAAATCAACTACCAGTTCACCACAGACAATCAGAAAACACATTTTCCTGTTGTTTTATGTCTGCCTTGCTAATAGGCTAGACTGCTGAACTTCCCGTCACTATATAAAAGGTTTATCCCTCTTGTATGACAATGTCGAAGTCATTATTGATATTTATGGAATCTGTATTTGGCACTTTCTAGTTTGGACAGAACATTACCCAAAGATCGAATGTTGATCTCTGCTGTTATTTTGGCCTCAGCGAGTAGCTCGTCCTGGGTCAGGGGCCGGTCACGGTGAGCACCTCTCCGTCTTCGGGGGGCATCCTGACGCTCCTGAAGCCGAAGATTGGTCTTTCTGGTGTGTTCACTGGTGGACTGTCGCACAGACTTTCGAGCTAGAGAATTGTGAAGGCATATTGATGAATTAAGTGTGAGTAATAATCCTAAACGATCATTGGTAAAAGAAAGACGTTCATGTCATATGAAGTTGTGATGTAATCATCCCCGTTTTTATCAAGTCTGAAAAAATGAGCGATAATTTATGAGATATATAGAAAAAGTGAGTTGACATTTTGTCCAGTGCTAACAATTTGTTGGCGTCTTACTCTCGCCAAAGTCTTGGAATTCTTGTGGAATCCTCCTTTTGAGCTCCACTTTGGTTTTCTCAGTCTTCTTCTGTTCTTCTGAGGGTCTTTTGGGTTTGGGTTTTGCCACTTTTATAGGTTCCTTTGAAAGACACAAAAAGTAAACTTCTTTAAACTTCTAATCTATTTCATACATTGTTAATAAACCAGCTTAACATTTTTTTTTAATTCTACAGAGACAAATAAAGTAAGGGGTCAAAGTTTAATGAATTATGTCTTTATGCTCCCTGTGTTTGGCATATGGACAACAAACGCCTCCAGCCAAATAGCTGGGGAGTCAAAGTAAAAAGCACATTTTTAAATAAAATTGGGGCTTTTATGTTGTCAATATTTGCTCAGGGAATGTCAGCATTCCCGGGATAAGACAAGTTGGCAGCCAAATGCCAGAGGACACAATTCTACCATATTAACATTTACAAAGTCTCTCTAGTATGAATGCAGACTGATGAAAGATTATTTCTGTATTCAGTTAATAATGAAGAAGATTTTTATAAAGGTCCTATAACTTCTGAAATCATCATCGCTACCTTATAAGCTTTAGTGACAACCCGACTCTTCCTCTTTGGTGCATCATCCTCCTGGTCGCTGTCAGGTTCGTCCCCCTCATCGATGTCAAAGTCGCTGTCCACCTCATCCTCCGTGTCTGAATGGTCTCCATGATACTCGTCATCCCCTGATTCCTGAAGAAACCCAAAAGAGGAATTATGATGGCAACAATATGTAAAAAAGTTTCAAAAGCGTATAAGTTAATGAAACAACAGTCTGAATACTGCCTGGAGACAGCCTGGTAAACCAATATTTAAAAAATATTTAATAGATCATTTATTGTCATGTAACAAATCAGGGGTGCACAATGAAATGCTGAACGTGGTCTCTCTATGCTACTACACACATGTTTAGAATATATACAACAATTTAATCTATGATGGAATAAATACAAATAGTTTAGTATAATGTAGTTTGTAATACAGTGCATGCGACAACAAATATACACAAAAAATGCTAATAAGATTAGTTCAACAAAGGGTACATGATTGAACTTCTGAGATGTAGATTTAAGCAGAGCAGGTTACCATTAAGATTTAGGAGAGAATGTTTTTTCTGTATGTTTAATCTGCAGTGTAATCTAACTGTGACGTGAAAAACCATAACAAATGTAAACAGATGTAACTGCATTAAAAGACGAATATTTGACGGATGATGAAAGAGTCAGACTAGCCCTCAAATTGAATTAAATGTTCAGGCATGGGTTCATTTTTCTGTCAGTGCCAGTAGAGATGACTGAGGCATCACAGGATTTGTTTGTGATTTTTTTTTTCTCCCATTACTGAGACAAACGTCAGAACTGCCTGGGCAGCCGCTGCCAAATCCTCCTACACACGCTGACCCCTGAACCAGCAGCTGTTTGAAGAAAATTAGCCAGACTGCAAATTGATGCTACAAATCATCATCATCTTTTCAATGTAAGCATTTAAAGTAGTGGCAATAACAAATTAAACATTACATTTTCTGACACGAAACTATGATATTAATTTTTCTCTGCTGGCACTCTCATTCAGTTTTTTATAAACATGTTAGCTGTTAAAAGGGACGGGTCTTGATATGTTGGGAGTCTCTGTCAGTTACCGATGACTCATGTAAGCCTGGTGAATTATGACGTAAGTTTCTACATTGACTGCATGAAAAATGGCATGAGCAGAATCAAATTGACACATTTCCATAGACTGCGGATACACGAGATGTACAATGAAAGTATAAATATTCCAGTTGCCAGTCCATCAGGTACAGTTTCTTATAAATAATACTCCTGCTCACAATACACCCTACATTCATTTAAAAATATGTATATATGTGTGTGTATATGTGTGTGTGTGTGGGTGTGTGTGTGTGTGTGTGTGTGTACGTGTGTGTCTGTGTATATGTACGGGTGTGTGTGTATATATGTGTGTGTATATGTGTGTGTGTGTATATGTGTGTGTGTGTGTATGTGTGTGTATATATGTGTGTGTATATGTGTGTGTGTGTATATATGTGTGTGTGTGTATATATGTGTGTGTGTGTATGTGTGTGTATATGTGTGTGTGTATATGTGTGTGTGTTTATGTGTGTGTGTATGTGTATATGTGTGTGTGTGTGTGTGTGTGTATATGTGTGTGTATATGTGTGTGTGTGTATATGTGTGTGTGTGTATATATGTGTGTGTATATGTGTGTGTGTGTGTGTATATGTGTGTGTATATGTGTGTGTGTATATATGTGTGTGTATATGTGTGTGTGTATATGTGTGTGTGTGTATATGTGTGTGTGTATGTGTATATGTGTGTGTGTATGTGTATATGTGTGTGTGTGTGTATATATGTGTGTGTGTGTGTATATGTGTGTGTATATTATGTGTGTGTATGTGTGTGTGTAGGCAGCTTGTCTATCAACAGTGAAACAATTGTTTACATTATATATACAATTCAAAATGATAATAAATAGTTAGGTGTCTATGTAGAGTCATCATTTGTCATTAGAGGATGTTTAGTACTTTTAAAATAATGAAAATACAAAACTACAAAAACAACAACAACATGCTAACTGCTGGGTGAATCACTCACCTCGTTGAAACCTCCATAAGTCGTCTTGTAAAAGTCATCTTCTTCTTCAGCATCCAGTAGTTTTGACATGCGATTCCCCGCAGTCTTTCTGGGCTCTCGACCCACAGCCAGAGTCATGTCTGTGTTTTATAAACAAAGCTCGCTGTTGTCTAAGCTAGCTAATGTTGTGCTAGCGTAATCTGTAAAACACTGATTTGAGGTTCTTTTCCACGTAGTACTTAACCATTCATCTGCCCGCCGCCATATTTACTAAATGTATGAATAATGTTTAATTTAACGCTTGAATTCGTTCAAATGTTTCTCAATATTTACACAAGCTAAGTACAAAGCTAACTGCTAACACTGCACTGGTCGCTGCCCGCTTGTAGCCAACAAACACTTCCGGAGTAGGTGGTTGTACTTCCGGGTTACTGTCTAAAGTGCATGTTTAAAATAAAATACATTATATTAAAATATTATCTTAGTACATCATCAATGAGGGTTTTTTAGTTGTTATTATTGTATCTTCTGAATAACCGGGCTGGCAAATGTATGACGTCAAAACTATGTAGGATGTTGTTGTTATGGTGATATCATGGCTGAACCTCCTTTTTACAGTCTATGCTTGTGATAACATGCTTCAATTTTGGACGAAAAAACGGCATATATTGCCCTATATGCTTTAAAATATTATAGCTTACAGAAGAAGTTAACAACTATTAATTATTTAGAGTTTAAATAAATCATTATTCAACTAGGTTATTATTTTTTTGTGATGCTGATCTCAGATCACTGCTACAGATTTAATTCTACAATTCTACAATACACTTAGCAGACGCTTTTATCCAAAGCGACGTACATCAGAGAGTAAGTACAAGGATCTAGAATAAAGGGAATAATGGACACACAGGTGTGTCACACAGGTGCTGACAGGCATTGCACAGAGGCAAAGCACAACATTGAGGGCAGTTCTTGAGAGCTCTAATCAGTATAGAAACCATCTTATAAGTCATTGTTATCAAACAAAAACCATCGTCATTACCATCATCATCATCAATAATATGGAGACCATCATCATTAAGTTAGTAGGTATTCATGAAAGAGCTGGGTCTTTAGCTTTTTCTTAAAGGTGCAGAGGGACTCTGCAGATCCAATGGAGTTTGGAAGTTCATCATTCCACCACCGGGGGGCGACAGAGGAGAAGAGTTTAGTCAGCGTCTTAGGACCCTGTTGTGAAGGTTGGATCAGACGCCTTTCATTGGCAGAGCGTAGTGAGCAGGAGGGAGTGTAGACCTGTAGACCTGAGATTTACCAAAAGTTAAAAGCCAGACAGTGTGTGTGAGGCCTTCTCTAAAAATAAAAGGCCAAAGAACCACAAACCTTAAGGACACAAAAAATATGTCATGACATTTTTTCAGAAACCATATTTTTATTTATTCTAATTACGACTACTTACTTATAGAGAACATTGAAAAACACTTTCTAAAGAGCTATTAAAAATGAAGTATAGTACATGCCATTTTGTTATTTAACCTTAATATAAGATTAACATTCCTGTTATTATTAATATGTAAGGGCTACCATCTGAGGCCCAAAATTATTTTTTCAGCTACATATTTCTATCTGTTGTAGATATCAGAAAAGGAAACAGATAAACAAAACATTAGTCAACAAGGTCCCTGCCCATTCTGTGTACCATTTGTTTTTCTTCTTACTGTTTCTATTTATAAACAGAATAAACAACAAGCACAAAAAATCTTGATAATTGTATCCCTAAATATAACATGCATCATGCATATAAAATAGTGCTTAAAGCTTACTTTGGTTGCTACGTTTTGGTTGCACTTCTGTCCTGATACACACAAACGCTTTAAGTTCCTGAAATGTGCCTACAATCTTCTTCAAATGCTTTGACCATCACAATTTACGGTTTGTCTTTAGCACCCAGCTAACATGGCTGTATTTGAATTAAGTGTCAGTACATGTCCAACATAAGTCAACATGCCTTAAAATTAACTTACTTTGATCTACAAAGCTAAATTCAGATATAATGTTTTACATTGTGTCTATGCAAACTCTTGATGTACCAAGTTATTCCAAGGTGCTTGAAGTCATATTAGTTTCATGGTGAACCTGCTCGTCTCTGTATGGTTTCCCGCCCCTCCTTTACTACTTGACATGGCTCTTCGTGGCACGTATGCAATGGTGGCTGTGTGCTTGATCTGCCCTTTGCTCTTACTCCAGAAGAACATGAAAATGAAGCACACACTCACAGAACTAAAAAATGACATAAGCCCAATGGTTACTGCTATCAGTAATGTCTTTAAATCAATTGGTGGTTTCTGATTTCCATTCACACCTGAGGGGAAGAACCAGCCTTTGAGATGAGAGGGGTGTCTAAAAGACTTTGGAAAGGCTCGAACTTGCAGACTGGCAGGCAGGCTGGAATTCCCTGCTGCATTGGATGCCACACAGTGATACGTGCCGCTGTCTTGAGGTTGAGCAAAGCGAATCTCCAGCGAGCCATTAGAGAGAGCCCATATTCTCCCTGTGGATGATACAGGTTTTAGCTGTGGGTTCAGCCAGTAGACAGATGGCACAGGGTCACCTTCTGCATTGCAGTGAAACACCACAGTGTGTCCCTGATCCACTCTCACTTCTTGACGTTTCATGGTTAGAATACGGGCCGGTCGGCATGTAAGCACACCTGGGAGTTCATCTTCTCCGAGGTCTAGAAAATTCAAACCATGGAAGTGGACTGAGGCAGTGCAAATCGGTGAATTACCACCCAAATCTAGATTTGGTCGTATTTGCACCAGCCACAACAAACGACAGTCACATGCTAGGGGGTTGTTATCAAGTCCCAGATTTCTGAGAGTTCCCACTGACTGAAAAGCTCTCTCTCCAGCGTGGTGAGAAGATTTCTGGATACATTCAGCACACTCAGATACAACAAACCCCTGAATGCTCCGATTTCAATACGAAGCAACGAACCCCCAACCAGATGAAGCTCTCGGAGGCGCAGCAGATCACCGAGCTGGTTCCCATGGATGTAAGTGATTGGATTAAAAGAAAGGTCGAGGAATACAAGATATACAAGATGATGAAGAGGTATGTAAGGGACAGCACTGAGGTTAGCGTGTTGAATGGTCAGAGATGTTAGGTTTAGGCCAAAGAGACTTCTTCCTGAGAGCGTCTCAAGCCAAGGGCAATCAGAAATTACAAGCTCTTTTAGACGCTCTAGATGTCGGAAAGAGTAATTCAGCAGCGTGGTGAGACCCAGTCGGTAAAGATAAAGACTTCTCAACCCGCCGAGCTGTGTAAGGGCCTCTGTCGGCACGGCAGTGAGGTTACAGCCATCAAGGTGAAGCTCTTGCAGACTTGCTAGTCCAGAGAAAGCTTGAGAAGAGATGAAAACTACATCATTATCTGCTGCTGTTAAAAACTGCAAAGCGGGCAAGTCACGGAAAGTAAAATCCAGAAAAACCAATATGTCATTGCTGCTTATGTCCAGAATTTTCAGTTTTGGCAACCCAGCAAACGCTCCAACAGGAATGAACTTAAGGTGGTTGCGAGCGAGATGCAGAGTTAGTAGATTTTGCAAGCCGAGGAAAGCCTCAACTTCAATTAAAACCAAATCATTATCTGACAAATCAAGGTGTAAAATGTGTGTTAACAACTGGAACTGTTGCTGAGCCAGCGCCTTGATCTTGTTATTTGTTAAGTTGAGTAGTTTGGCGTCTTTTGGGAGACCATCAGGCACTGTGATAAGTTGGCGATGAGAGCAGTTTGCCTCCAGCAGCACAGTGTTGCAGCGGCAGGGCTGAGGGCACGGCCAGCGTGTTTCCGATGTTAATGACACTCCTGCTGCTAAAAGGTACAGAGCTCCCCAGCACAGCCATCCATGGACTGCAATCTTCTCAAACATCTGGAGATCTGCCTGCATGAGAGAGAGAGACATCTGTAAAAAAACAAAACAAAAAAAAGAAAGTGATGATGATAAGGAAAGAAAGGGTGAATTACGACTTTCTGCAACACAAATACTGAGCTGAGCTGCAAGAAAGGGATAGGCAGTCGATATCCAGACAGCTGTTGATGGAGGGTCAAGAAAGCAAACGAAGATATTGTCAAATGTCAGATTTTAGTGCTGAATCATCCTTGTCAAACTGAAAAGATACGGAAGTAGCAGCTCCTGTATGCCATGGAAAAAGCCTGCAGTTAAGTCTTTTACAAAACGATTCAATACAGATCATTCTGATCATTTCAAAGCAGCGAAAAGCTTTTCTTTTTTTAACATTTAAGTTCATTGTTTTAATTTAATCATCTTTTCTCTGTTTTATTTTAATATCCTTCTACCTTTTTAGCTGAACATCATTTTGTATTTTCTGTGCAAAATGTGCTCTATGAAGGAAGCTTTTTTGCTTGCCTCCTTTATCCTTGTTTAACAAGAATAGAAAATAATAGAATAGAATAGAATAGAATACCCTTATTGTCATTGCATATAGTAACTCTAAATTTGCTGTGCTTCTCTTAGACAAAAAAAAAACAGCATTCACATCATATTCTGCCATGCATCCATAAAAGTATTTTAAAAGTGGTAAAACAAGTGTAGTGCATTCAGTGCAGTCTTGCATTCTCCCCTTCAATGCGCCTTTGCACCTCTGTACAGTAAGACACTTTGCAAGGATTAACTGTTTTCTCAATCGACTCATTTCTTGCAGCTCTAAACTGAAAGAAATTTCAGGAAGCTGCCCTGTTTACCGACCCCAATCAGAGGGAGTAGAAGGCGTCCCATAGATGGTAATCAGGGATTTCTATTAGTCTTGTGATAGCATACAAACAAATGGTTTTGACGGTACCAAAAAAGTCTACACAGTCTATTTTAAATGGACAATTCATTATAATCTACCACCATTTGATGCTATCTTAATATACCGTTGAAAGGAATTGATTGTGACTGGTTGTGTGTGGCAGATTTAAGTTGGGTCTTATGTACGCACTGTTAACCTTTAATGGCAGATTTAAATCACTATCCGTTTAAACTCTGACCTCTAAAACACTAGCAGCAATTGCAATGCAATTAGCACAGCTAATCCCTGTCTATTTAACATTGTAGATCAGTTCTTAACCATTTAACTGCTGTGTATCGAGTGACAAATGTGTCTTCACAACATTAACTGACTCTCCTCTGTTTTGTTCTCATTTGTTTTCGTTTCACCACACATCCACGAGGCTCTGGTGGTGTGGATCATTCAAAATCCACTAAACGCCACCGGGAACAAATAGACATTAAAACAAGAACAGGTAATGAACTTACTTTGTTTTTATTTTATTGATGTTATTTGAAAGCACAAATATAGAGAAAGAGTCGGCCTGAAAAACAAGACATTACATGAGGGACTCAACCGTTCAATTATCTGTTGGTCCTCAATTACTGTAAACATCATTCCTCATAGGCACATTTTTTGTATTGTGTTTTTAAAGGTATTGCAGTTGATAAGTAGACTAAAAGGATATTAAAACATTTATTTTTGACTATTTGAATGCGTTGCAACTGGCATGACTTGAAAATCTTTTGGTTAATCCAAAGCTAGCGTTGATTTGATTTTGGGACAATATACCTGAACTCTAGGATTGATGGGATGATGTTTTTGTGCAGACATTTTCTATCAAGTGTTAAGCTCCACTGAGTTAAAGATCATATTCTCTGTTTTAGTGTATCCTATGTTTCTGTCAAACCCAAGAAGTAAGATTTATGAATCTTGATGTTTCAGAGAGAAATGTGTATAATCAGCTCCCTCTGCTCTCTGTCTTAATGCTATAGGCTTCATAAAATGTCTCATATGTTTTTCAATTACTGTCTTGGTCTCAAAATGTAGTCATTTTTTGAACCTTTCAAGTTTGATATTGCTTTTAAAAACTAAACAACAACCAAGTTTTGCAGCAGAACAAGGTCAAACTTTGGAGTTTGCATTAAGATGTTTTATCTACAGATTCAGAGCAATGACTGTTCATTTAACTGAAGAATAACTACTGTTCATTTAACTGACATTAAAAGACAAATAGTAGTGCGAAGTGAAGGAGTTAAATTAACCCTTGGACTGATTTAAAACACGTAGATGTCAACATCATCAAAGGACCTTGCTTTATTGAAACGTTTTCAAAATATACCACTAGGGGGCGGCAGAAGCAAAACTTATACTCCAGGGCAAGAGTAAGGTCCAGTATTTTGAAAACTGTTTGGAAACAAATGGTAAATGGTTGTCCAGTCAAAGTCAAAATGTTATCAGACTTGTATAACTACAAAACTATTCAAATATAATTGTATGTAAAAACCTATCAACATGTTTAAGATGTATAATTCTGAAAGTGAATAATATGAGGAAGCCAACAAACTGTAAGCCTTTCAAAAAATGCTGTCATCAGCTCATCATAAAATGTGTGACTCACTGAAATGTGCTGTTTAAGTTGTCCAGAGAGTGCTGATAAAAAAAACACCTTCAAGTGTGAAGCCACCCTTTGTTTTGGCAGCTCTCCTCATGCAGAATTTGAGAGTATAGGGACGATTTAAAAAAGCCAAACAGCAGGACAGATTTCTCTTAAATCTGTGACCATTATGCAGGACAAACTGCTGATGTGCATGAATGCATGATGTGCTTTACAGGTGAGTAGTTCTTAGAGCCTTAGAGCTTGATTTTCCATTTTTAATAGGCTATATATCCCATTATTTTTTAAACTTTTTTTTTGCTTGTAGACATGATTTTTGCAAGCATATATGTATATAGGCATATGTAAATGAGATAAAATCATCCTGTAGTGTATCCAACATCATATTTCAAATGAGATATTTTCTTCCTGACAGTTATGTAGCTGGGGAAATATTGTCAAATCTAACTGATAGAGATGACAGCGGCTCCCCCGAGCAGTGACTGATGGAGTCTACTCCTAAATTCCTGAGGGAGCGCACATGCTCAAGGTGAAAATAATGCGTAAAGGTGAAATCACAGTTATTTACTATTGCCTGAGAGCCTGAATATATACAATACAAATGATGCTGTAATGAAAGGGTGAATATTTTTGTAATCATGAGTGAAAATTGAAAATGAAATAGTTTAACTCACCCTCTCTTTAATCTGGCACGCTTGTCATTGTGAGAGTTCCATTTTGATAATTTTGCAGTGAGAAAAAAGGGAGAAATTTCAGGTGTTTTTCTTTTCTTTTTTACCTGAAATTGTCCCTAACTTCAATTTGTGGTCTGTCAGGTCCAGCTCTTAACCTGCTGTTGTTATAAAATAAATCCAAACCAAGCCTGCAACATGAGAGAAGCACATAGACAAATTACAGTAAGAAAGCTTCATTCTCCTTTTATGAGTTTTTAGGGTTTCAGCAGCTCAGTTCCCCTGTTGCTTTGCCGTCCTCATGGCAACAACAATCTGGCTGTGTACTTGCGGGAGCTTGTTGCATGCTGGGGGATTATATGCACAAGATCCTGGCCTGTATCCAGCACGCTGCACTGGATGACAGGAGGAAGTCAGGCATGGGTAAGCCAAATACTGAGAATCAGAAGCAACACACAGATGGAAATGAATTTAAGAGCTGACACTTAAAGATAAAAGAATGCCTTTTTAGCCGTACTGTCTGTCAGCTATTTGAAGGTTGGATACAGGTCGAGCCACATTTCTTATTTTACAAGTGACAAATAGATGCTTGCATCTAAGACTGAACATTACTATTTCATTAAAAAAATTAAGCAATGACATATTGCGTTCCCATTGTTCTGTTTCACATTAATGTAATTGAGATTTACAGGAAAATCTCCCTAAATCTCCCTGCATTTGGGAAGAACAATTTGTTAAAAGTGTAGGTTGTATTTTTTACTATTTACACTTTAGAATCAAGTGTTATTCCCCTTTTTTTACTCTGAAGATATAAACAGCAACAAAACGGGTGTGCTGATTTTCATCATCACGTCTCCACTCTTCTTTCTAACCTTTTGCAGGCTAATTCATTACAGATGTTTTTTCCAGCTATGATTCTTTTGAATTATGCAACCAGATTTAATAGCAGATTTGAATGTGTTCCTACCACTGGCAATACAAATTACAATATATGTGTGTGTGTGTGCTCTGGTTTGCACCATAAAACCATATCATTATATTATCGTGTTGTGTTTTCATCCCTGAATGACATTACAAGCCTTCCATATTTGAGTAATTGAATTTGGCTTGTTTGTTTTTTGACTCCTGCCCCAGCTGTGCTGCCAAAGCAGATGTTATGAGAGTAAATGATAAGAGACCTAATTCTCAACTTTCTCTTGTTCCAAATCATTCTTTAAAGTGCTGGACGTCAGCATATTGCCTCCCTGGTGTGTGGCTGTAGCCTGCCTTCCAAATGCTTAAGAATTAATTGTCAAATCTGCCATGAACAACAACAACAAACCCTACAGCTAAGTTTGCCTATTATACACCAGGAAGGGACCTAAAATGTACAATATAGCTACAGTACAGTTTATTGTCTCTCCTTTGAAATTCCCAATGATTTCTCCCTAAAGTCTGGATTTCTTCCACTATATTGATGTTGAACCATTAAGTATTCTATATGTTCTTTTTCATACAACAATAACCGGATGTGAATTGCTACAACATGTTACCTGAATAAAAATGCTTAAAATGTGACTTTATTTTCAGAGAATTGTTCCCCTATGATCTACTCTTTCAAAATGTGATTCACTGACTGTTTGCTCTGTAAATTGGGCAAACTGATGAATGCATTTCTCCATTTGGGATAAAGCTACTAACTACCCCCACACTGCTCCACCATTTGAACAACTCACTCCCTATTCAATGGATTAAACATTATAAACCAACAAGGTATTTGAGTAGTTGTCTCTGTTCTCAGTTGCAGTAATATGATATGTGTCGACAGAAAAGGTGCATGATCACCGCAGAAGAAGAGTCTATGCTGAGTCAGGACCTCACCATCTGTTACCTCAGGGAACCTGCGCTAATCAGCAGATCTTCGTCCAACCCCGGTTTCAGGGAGAAAAACTCTGTGCTGATGCCAAATACAGGCGCTGCAAAATGTAAGATCCTAATTATATAATATCCTCCTGTCTTATTAGCATCATATTCAATCTTTCATTATTGTTTTGTCAGCTGCACTTTACAGAATCAGCTCTTATAGGAGTTTTTAATGTCCTATTTATGTAAAGTGATGCAGGAGAAAGCTCTGTATTGATTATACTGGATCACAGTGCAGGTTTTCGATACTGTAGACCACATTTTATTGGTTGAAAGGTTCAGGCATATCTGGTTGGGTATTTCTGGTTCAGCTTTAGACTGTTTCTTCTCTGTTATCAGACAGGACATTCTCTGTTACAGGTGACAATTATACCTTTCTAAATAAATCCCTGGTTTGTGGAGTTCCCCATGGTTCTGTCCTGAGCCCAATTTTTTTTTTTTTGCCTTGAACACCATTTTTATTTTTCTCACATATTTTCCACCACAATTGGTTTTACTTTTTGCGTATGTGTAACATGTAACTTTTTTCACTTCCACCTCTGGTAGTGACGGGTATTTCTGGCCTCTGCAGCTGTTTGTAAATTAGATTCACATGACAAGCCTGTGAGTAGATGCTCTGTAAAACAGAGAACAAAAATGAGCAGTGTGTGTGAGGAGAAACTTCTGTAAACTTCCTCTTTTAAGTGTGAAGGGTTTTTTTGGCTCGCTAACATTTATGCACTTTTCTTAACGGAACATTACCCTGCTGATCATTCTGCAACAAGGTAAAATCAAAGTGTTTATTCTTCTCTATAGTAATGTAAGCATGTTTGGCTGTGATCTTTATCGGATACGTGTCAAAGGTTAAAGTTAAATTGTTTGTATGGATTGTGCTTTATGAGGGTAAAGATTTGAAGGAGAAAAAGACAAGAGATTACAGTTAAAAAACTTCTTCTTTTGAACGGGAACAAATCTTTTAAATTCTCCGATGCTTGAGCACAGCCTGTGCCTTTTGAAATTGTTATTTGACTTTCACATGAAGTTTTATAGGCTTCCCTTTGCTATGTTGTGGCTCTAGACTGGAATAGAGAAGAACAGTTCAAATGAACAACATGAATAGTCTACTGAAGAAAGACTTCTTAAAGAATGGGATGCCGGCACGTATACTTTGGGGAATTTGACTTTTTAAACTAAAGTCTCCTGAGAGTTTGAATTGAGTGTTCGAAATTCTCTTACTGGTTTGACACACTTAACTTTGCTTGTTATGGTGTAAGAGGTGCTGCAACTCAAGGTTAGTTTCTTAATCACCCAGTGAAGAGCTGCAGGTGTTTAGTTGGGGGAATTTGACTTTGAGTTCAAATTGAACACTTTTTAAGATCTACTTCAAAAAATTATCTAAATTCATATTTGATGACTCAAAGTCAGTGTGCAGAAGATTTTCTAATCAGACCATGAAGCTGGGTTTAAAAGATCATAGAAGATAATATGTAAAGACATCGGTGAATAAAAGGATCAATAAACTTTTTTATAGCCTGGTTGTAGCTTTAACTGGAAGACAGCTCATAAGCTCAACCCTGGTCTGGTAAAAGTAAGACATGAGGAAAGAATGAATATGGAGCCAGTTAAGCAAGAAATGTGTGTACAGAACCAGTAAGTATGGCGTTACAATGGTAGTAAGTATAAACAATAATAATTCTGCCAAACCAACAGTCTGGACAACTCATTTCTAGTGACAAATAGGCTACCAAAAAATTAAAGATAAAACTATCTCAGCAACTAACTTTGTTGTTAATCCACCAACTTCTTTGATGGCTAATCATTTTTTATTTGTCTGCTTGAAGAATGTGGTTAGTTACATTATCTTTTTTATCTTTGTAGGATGCACACTCTGTGTGCCATGTTGCTTCTGGTCTCCCTGGATCTCAGCCACTCTTCTTCTACTGCCTTACGTAAATTGTGGGAAGATTGGACAGTAAAACATCACAAGGTGTATGATAATCAGGTGAGAGAGTGAAAACATCATTTCCTCTTTCTATTTACAGACACATATAGAAACACAAACGGTGAGATCATGGAGTCTGTGTTTTTGTTTCAGACTGAGGTCGTTTTCAGGAGAGCGGTTTGGGAGAAGAACGTGCTGTTAGTGTTGAGGCACAATCAGGAGGCCTCAGCAGGGAAACACAGTTTCAGGATGGGACTCAATCATCTGGCTGACATGGTACCAATCTACTCTGAGGAAACAGTTTGTGTTTTCAGTCTCCTCCCGCTCCTTTTCATGTCTTAAATATTAGTCTGAACATGAATAGTCCTGAACAGGAATGTATCAAAGCAATAACGCAAAAAAAGTATTTTAACGGTTTCTTTACCTGCTTAAACTTACTGCAATAACTCCATAAATGACCAAAAACTTGTTCATTTAAACATAATGGAGGTTTAGAGTTAATATGAGAATAGCAGTATAGAGGAAAACACCAGCTGTTTGGATTGCAGTGGGTGTTAACCAAAAGTGCAGTAAAGTCAAATGTCAAGAAGAAAACAAGATAAAAAAGTTCTCAGCCGTTATTCTGGTCACTAGATTCAACCACCTCTGCTGCCCTCGAGCTTATATTCACATTACAAATGATAACTTCTTTTTATTTACTGATAACTAAAATCATTTTTACTTATTGGTAATTTCAGATTTTCTAATCAATCACATATTATTTTTCTCCCACCACTTTGTAATAGCAACCATGACCTTGAGCTAAGCACAACAGTGGGTAACTGTTTTTATTTTATCCATGCAGTGACTCTCCTGCCAAATACACAACTTTGATACATTTTGGATGTTTGTTTGGTCTAATCAGAGTTTTACGTGGGCTAGAAATGGGCACTTTTTAAGTAAGTTAAACAAGCACTGGATAGGTCCTTGGTGAAGCTTAAAAAATGTTCTTGGCTCCAGTCAGATATATCCTTTGGCCCCCATAAACTGGTTAGTGCACACACACCATGTCTCAAAACTAACAAAAGTAGCTTTGTGCCAACATGAAGGATTCCTCTATAGCTCAATAATGAAATATTATTCATCAAACAGAAAAAGTACACGTCAGAGGGATTTTCTGATGACCAACTAAGAGGAATGCTTGATCACCATGCCATTATTTAGAACAGAAATGTATTAGAGCGCCTTCTGGTGGATAAAAAATACATGACATGAAACATTTTAGTACTGAAGAGTAGCCCTCATTAACTGGATCGTAATCCATCCTGGTACCACTGCCGACATGTGCTTTTCATTACAACGCTGCAGTCACACTCATTGACCTCTGCTGGTGAGAGAAGCATGTTACTGACCAACACTGTTAATCTGCATCTAAACCCTCTGCTGCTGGATTTCAACCCAAACCTATAGAGCAGCTCTAATCTTCTCTTTTACCATCTGATGAATTTAATCCAACATAGCACGGACAATCTGGACAATCAGGACATAAAGTACATCTGGGGATGCCAAAAAACTTACATAAAGGTTTACGTACACCAAACTGGTACAACATGTCTGGAACATAAAGAACCACAGCAGAACTGTGGGCCAAACCTGTTTTGAGTGAAGTTATCGAAAAACGCTTTTAGTTGTGACTATAATGAGTGTGAGATCGATGAAAAAGGAATAATTTCATTAATTTTATGCACAAAAAAGCTGTTACTGAAAGTACAGTATGTCCCAGAGAGAGGACAACTTAACTTGAAGATACAAAAGAGCCCGGATGAAATGATCTTCATTTTTTAGAGAAAAAAAAGGTTTTAATGAGATTATAAAACTGTGATGAAAGTCAAAATAGGAACATACTGTTGACAGAGGAGGACTGCACGCTGATTAAAATGATTAAAACCAAATGATGCTCGGTTCTGCATCAGAAGTTCCTGTATTTAGAGGCAAAAGTTCCCTCATGATCAAGCTCAGGGGAACTTGGTGTTAACTTAATGACCGTATCAAAGAGGTTTAGGGACACCTGCAAAAAAAGAAAAACTTCCAAAGACATGAGAATCAAACTTTTAAAAAGAAAAAAAAGGGTCAGTGGTGTGCATGGAGGAACTTGGTGTTTTTTGAAAAAGATCCCTTTTTGTTGTCAGATAGCACTTAGACTACAAACACCTTTGGAGGATTTTTTAAAGGCTTGATCTGAATTTAAAGATTTAAGGCACAGATTCAAAGATGTGTATTGTGTACTTAAAGTGCTGAAAATACAAAATATAGGCATGTTGAATGTGTATAAAGTAAGAACTCTTATCAGGAGGCCAACATTACGATTTTACATTATACCATCCTGTGTATTTCATATATTTATAAAAACTTTTTTCTATAAAGACAGCTGAGGAGATCAATGAGAAACTGAATGGTCTGAAGCTGGAAGATCCATCAAACTTCAGAAACGGCTCTTTAAAGGAAGTCAGCAGCGTATCGATACCTCAGAGTGTGGACTGGAGGAAGAGCGGCCTGGTCAGTCCGGTCCAGAACCAGGCGAGTGATAATCTAAGATCTGTTATTTTTCAAAATGTGGGAATAAGAACAATGGCATGACAGTCAGTGGCACTAAACATGATTTGATTTCTTTTAAGGGGATGTGTGGGTCATGCTGGGCCTTCAGCTCTGTGGGGGCTCTGGAGGGTCAGATGAAGAAGCGGACAGGAGTTCTGGTTCCTCTGAGTCCACAGAACCTGGTGGACTGCAGTTTCGTGGATGGAAACCGTGGCTGCAGAGGAGGATTCATCTCTAAAGCCTTCGGATACATCATCCGCAACCAAGGGATCGACTCAGAGAGCTTCTACCCGTACGAACACCAGGTCGTCCTCAGCATGAGAAACCACAATTAACTTTAGATAAACTGTCAGGTTTAAGAAAACTTGACCCACTTATATGTTACGTGTCATTTCCTCCAGTTCATTGTTTCCTCGTCTTTCCCTTCTTGTTTTTTTTGCTCTCAGTTATTAATACTACAAATTAGACGTATCATCAGATTTAATCCTAATTTAAAAAAAAAGAAGCTTTTCTATATTTCATTTGCTTTATAAGTAGCCCATGATTCCATTGTTTGTAACAATAAAACATCAGTTTCAGCACATTTTACCAATGTAACTATGTTTTTATTAAAGAGTCTTGTTTAAGAGGAAGTGATATTAGAATGTTTCTTTTGCACCATTACTGTAAATAAATCATAAATTCTGACTTCATACCAATTCAGGAAGCACTGTTAATGATGTATTCCTCTTATCTGATTTGCAGAATGGGAAGTGTCGTTATTCCGTCACAGGAAAAGCCGGTTACTGCTCTGATTTCCACATCCTCCCATATGGAGATGAGAAGACTCTGAAGGCCGTCGTGGCATCAGTCGGTCCAGTGTCTGTGGCTGTGAACGCCATGCTGAAATCTTTTCATCTCTATAGAGGAGGTGAGGCTGCACCACTTTGACTGAGAGGTTAACATGCAAAGAGAAGTTAAATAACATTTCATGGTTTGGTTCTGTAGTTGTGGATCTTGGTTAGGGTTGGCAGTGGCAGCGTGACATTTATGCCTGACAGTGTGTTATCAACTATATTATGCCATGAAATAAAAGTTAACCTGAAGACATTCTGTGTTTGCATCTTTCCCTAATGAAGAACTTTTTTAACTGGAAAAAGAATTGGATCCATACAAGAACAAGTGATTTCTAGGGGAACAAACTGTAATATTTCAGAGTTTTTCTTCAACATGTCACTTTTATAAAAACGTGATATGAATATAAAGTGATCACTTTCTCAGAACCTTTATAAAAGGCCCTCACTCTGCAGTCAAACAACGTTACTCTGCTGGAATATTCATACTTCAGCTGTAGAATTTCTATTAAATTTAATTGAATGTTAAAAGTTTCAAAGATGGACCACATTTTCCCTTTTCTAAACAGATAGATAATGCCATATTTTCAAGAGGCTCAAGGCCTAGATTTTTGTTAAAATCATATTTAGAGAGCAAAATACTTTATTTACCCTACTGTACCTTTGCTTTTAAACAGAAAGGCACTGGTAAGTTAAATCAATGATTGGTTGCATTTTAAAATGTTACTACTTACTTCAATCTTATGGAAACTATAAACTCTGCTTTGTGTGGCACAACCTGTTCATAAAATGTGTTCATTATTCCACTTCTGTAACGTGTCCGCTGTATTTAACCAATAGACTGTAAGCAGCTATAAACACAGCGATAACAGGAGTGAATTTAAAGTGTGATGTTCCAGTTAAATAAGTCAAGTTGACAACAGAGCCTAAACTAAAACCTGTGTTGAAAACTTTCCCATTCCAAAAAATCACTTAAACTATTTATCATTCCCCCCTAAATGATCTGATATCAGACGTTATTCAGCTGTCATGCAGGTTCATAGAAGAGATTCCATTATTTTTCGTATATTTTTTTATCTTTTTAACCTTATGTGTCTTTCAGGTTTGTACAACGTTCCCAGCTGCAATCCCCGCTTGACCAATCACGCCGTGCTGGTCGTGGGCTACGGCAGAGACCAAGGACAGGACTTCTGGCTTGTGAAAAACAGGTATGTTTTTTCTCACATTTCAGAATATGAATGTCTAACCCCACATGGTAAAACAAAGGATGACTTCTACACATGTGAACAAAATATAGTGTAACTGTTTTGCTTTTTTTCATTCCAGTTGGGGAACCACGTGGGGAGAAGACGGCTTCATTCGGATCGCCAGAAACAAGAAGAATCTCTGTGGCATTGCCAGCTTTGCAGTCTACCCCACGCTGTGAAAATGTCACCTGTGTCCTTCATTATCAGAGCAGGACTTAAGTTATTTTGTTTACCGGGGGGGGGGGGGCAGTTTGTTGTCATGTTTAACAGTGGTCATGTTTAAGCTATACTACAATTAAAAACTAAGCCAAAAAGAGTTTTCAGTGTCATTCAGTAAATTACTTTACTAGTCTAAATAACTTTGAATGTTTAAGTAATCGATTAAAAAATGTCTGTAAAGAAAGAACAGAGACTGTGTCCCTTTAAAAATGTTTTGGTCACATAACTGAACTGAGAGCCTGTAATGTTATTATATAACAGGATACAATACGATTAAGAGATATCAGCCTGACAATGTTTTTTATCTATAAGAAATATAAGAATCACGTCATGTTCACTTATGTATCTCGTAGTCATCCTTTGTCCAAGGAGTTGAAGTTGCTGCCATCTGGCTGCAGATTCAGCCTGCCGGCATGTAGGGCAAGCAGACTGAGAAACTAATTTGTCCCTGCTCTCATCGCCTTTTTAAATGAATAATGGTGTTGCTTTTCATCTGTGTTTTTTATCTATTGTAATGAATGAATTGTCCTTTCTTATATGGTATGCTGATTGCTGGCTGTATCTTACTGCTGACTGCAAAACAAATTGCCCTCTCACAACAATAATAAAGACAACCTTGACCCTCACTTAGTCAGATAGATGACATTGACATCATTTGAATATTTCATCATGAAGTGTTATTTGGTATTGACGATTTAAAAAGAAATCTAAGTCTAAAAATACCACTGTTGAGTTCAGTCCATTATTTTAGCCTCCTTTGACCTACCTTCACTCTATATTTAATTTAAAAATTACAAACTGCACACTACAACAGCATCAACAGACAGACTACTAACTTGTCATTACAGTGGAGCGTTTGCAGCCAAAGCCACATTTTTTATTATCCTCAGATGTTTGTAGCCTGTAAAAACAACTTTAAGAGATAAAACACAGTTTTTACATTCATCAGGTTGAATTTCCTCAGAACTTAAAAGTCAGAACTATAAAAAAATAATAATAATAATTGGTCCTCATCCTCTTCCGTAGAAACACAACATCATTTACATTTTCTGATGGTTACTAAACAAGCAGCAGTCTGCCACTTTCAATGTGATGAAGCCATTTGCCTTTGCTGGGTTCACGCCGCTGTATCCGAATTGCTAAGTACCGCTTCAATCTTTCAGTAGTCAGTATACAGTACCTACTATCCGTGCTGTATACTGTTAGTACCTACTATTCAGTAGGCGCGCACAGTAGGCAGATATTTGTTCCTACTTCATCTGATTCATTCAGTATGGAAGTGACGTCATTTACGTTTCCTGAACCGGCCGCATCCACCCGTTTTTTTTTTGTTTTTTGTTTAGCTTTATTCAAGAAGAGTAATGCTCGTATACAGTCAGGTAAACAAAAAAACAATATCACAATGTAAATCAAGTAAAAGATTAAATAACTAAATAACATACAGTACATAAAGGAAAGAACAAATGAAAGACAGTAAAATACAGAATATAAAATAAAACCAATAAAGGCGCATTTAAATAGTGAAATCATTATTTAAATAGAGGGAGAAAGGTTTTATAATAATGCAGATATTTGTTATATTTTCTGTTGTTAATTTAAAGTAGTGATTTCAGTCGGGACTTTAACTGTAGATTAAAAATTGATTCAATTAATCCACGCTCGTTTGTTTTGATTTGGAGGCAGAATATTTACAGTCTATGAGGCAGACGTGACGTGACGATTTACGTTTAATTTTGCACAGCATTGTGGGTGGTAAAATACAATTCATTTCCTGAAAGCACGCATCCGATCCATACTGCATAAAACCAGGAAGTTAGTATCCATACTGAAATGTTCAGTATACTGAGGTGGACCCAAAAAATGCATACTGAATGACCACGAAAGTTCAGTATACTGAAACTCCATACTGAACGTACGTACTGCATACTGAACTGTGACAATTCGGAAAGGGCCCTAGTTTCCACTTTCCACTGCTCCCAAGTGGCCAAAAAAAATCATCAAGGGTTAATGACATGCAGGTGTGCAGCCAGTGACGTTGTGATAATTAGGGAGACTGAGGTTCTACTTGAAGTCTCTGCTTTGGACACCATACCACTAAGGTCATGTGTAGAGTTGTTCTGTCATCGGTTTATGAGGACTACTTTGGAAACCTGGATTTGTGTCTGTGTTTTTCTCCAATATTGTAGTTCAAAGGAAAACAAGAAATACCTGGTAGGTTATCTATCCTTTACTGTTTTGACAAATTCAACTTTGATCACCTAAACTTAATGAGAAATAAACTGTTAAATTAAATGTGCAAATTCATGATTTAATCTATCACTTTTTTTTTTTTTTTAAATAAAATAAAAAAAACTTTATCACTCTTATAATGTTCTTAATGTCTTTCATGCAAGTGCTTATATTATAAAACCTAGATTATGAAATGGTTTTGGTCTGTTTCTTTTCCCCATGCTCCCTAATGTTAATCCAAATCAGCTGTAAGAGTTTAGTTTTAATGGAGTTCTGATGCAGCTGGCAAATGTAAGCATGACTCAGGCCTTTAGTTTTATGTGGGACACTAAAGAAACCAGTTATTGCTGATTCCATGTGAATGAACTTCTTTTTTTTTTTTTTTTTCCTTCATACAGCGATGTTTTGGAGCGTGCTTCTTTTTACAGCCCTGTGTGGCTTTGCAGCAGCCTCCACTAAGTCTGAACAGGATCGACACTGGGGACTATGGAAGAAAATGCATAATAAAGTTTATTCTGAAGAGGTAAAGTCTTTAATCTAACACTGCTGAAATGTTCAACTCTCTAGGCATTCAGTCATGAATTAAACTATAAGCACGTAAACCGTGTTGGTTATGCATGAAAATCCTTTTATCACATCCAAGTACACTGTAAATCAAAGTCTTCACCTCTTTGTATGTTGGATTTGATAAACGGCCAATTAAGGGTAGCAGATTGGGGTTTATATGCTTGTTTGTTTTTTCCAGCTTGAGGATCTTGGCCGCAGGCGGATATGGGAAGAGAACTTGGATATGATTAATGTCCATAACCTGGAAGCGTCTCTGGGCTTACACTCCTATGAGCTGGCAATGAACCACCTGGGAGACCTGGTGAGTAGACCGCTAACCTTTATTTAAATGTGTCACTAGAACAACTAAATGGCTTTAACAAAGGCTACATGAATTATTTGTCTGAATGTTTGGGTTAGCATGTTGTGTCAGGTGACTTTGAAATCAAAGTGACTCACTTGTGAGTAACTATTTCTGTGTTTATAGACCAATGATGAAATCATTAGCACCTTGATAGGTACGGTTGTGCCCACTAAGCTGGATAGGGGTTCTTCCAGAGGTATCGGGGTCAACACTCTCCCACAATCCGTGGACTGGAGGGATAAAGGCCTGGTAACAGATGTCAAAAATCAGGTGGGGTGGGGGGCAGTATAATGCCTCAAAGAATTGTAAATTGACATGAATCCCATCGTATCCCAACTACTTTTTTCTATCTTTAAGGGTTTGTGTGGCTCTTGTTGGGCCTTCAGTGCAGTTGGGGCTCTTGAAGGACAACTCAAGAAGACCACAGGAATCCTGGAATCCCTCAGTCCTCAGAATCTGGTGGATTGCTCCATGAACTACGGGAACCTTGGGTGTAACGGTGGCTTCATGTCAAACGCGTTCCATTATGTCATGAGTCAGGGCATAGCATCTGACTCGGCCTACCCCTACGTCGGCCGCGTAAGCTTTAGAATTATGGTCCATTACTGTGGTGATGAACCTTGTTGATTTTTATTCCTGACATCAGTCATATCCTTGTTCCTTGCTTTCTTTTCAGCACGGTCAATGTAAATGTTACCCAAAGCATCGGGCTGCAAACTGCTCTGGCTATGTCTTCTTACCAAAGGGGGATGAGTTTGCATTGAAGGAAGCTGTTGCTGTAATCGGTCCTATCGCTGTAGCAATTGATGCCTCAAGACCAAAGTTTGGCTTCTACCGTCATGGTGAGCACCGTCAAGGGTTAACACTGATTTTAAGAATGTAAAAATACCCAATTTAAATGAGTTTTTACACTTTAAGTTTTTGTAAAAGTATGGGTTCAACCTGAGCTGTTATTGGTTACATTTCTGTTTTGTTTTCTGCGGCTCCTGAGGTGTGTACAGGGACCACACATGCACTGATAATGTGAACCACGGAGTACTGGCAGTGGGCTACGGCACTTCTGGGAGTCAAGACTATTGGCTGGTCAAAAACAGGCAAGTATAGCATTACAAAAAAATGTCAATGCTAACTTGAGTGTTTTGTTTTTTTAACAATGATTCCAAATTCCCTTGTAGTTGGGGTGTGAAGTATGGCGACCGAGGCTACATCAAGATGGCTCGGAATTTAGGAAATCAGTGTGGTATTGCTCTCTATGCTTGTTACCCCTTAATGTGCTCAGAAAGTGGTTAATGTTTTGTCTATCAGTTTTAAATAAACTTAAATAAAATTGATTTTCAACTTTTCTTTTTGTATCTTGTTGCATAAGAATGTACAAACTAATTGGAATCCTGGACTGTATCAAGTCTGAATTTATCTGGCTGCAGCTGCAAGGCCAAAAACTCTGGCCCTTTCCGAATTGTCACAGTTCAGTAGGCAGTACGTATTATTCAGTATGGAGTTTCAGTATACTGAACTTTCGTGGTCATTCAACATGCATTTTTTTTTTTTTTTTTTTTTTTTTTTGGGTCCGTGCAGTATACTGAACATTTCAGTATGGATACTAACTTCCGGGTTTTATGCAGTATGGATCGGATGCGTGCGTTCAGGAAATTAATTGTATTTTACCACCCACAATGCTGTGCAAAATTAAACATAAATCGTCACATCTGCCTCCAAATCAAAACAAACGAGGGTGGATTAATTTAATAATTTTTTTTATCTTAATTTAAAGTCCCGACTGAAATCACTACTTTTAATTAACAACAGACAATACAACAAATATCTGCATTATTACAAAACCTTTTCCCCTCTATTTAAATAATGATTTCATTATTTAAATGTGTCTTTATTGGTTTATTTTATATTCTGTATATTACTGTCTTTCATTTGTTCTTTATGTACTGTATGTTATTTAATCTTTTACTTGATTTACATTGTGATATTGTTTTTTGTTTACCTGACTTATATGCACATTACTCTTCTTGAATAAAGATAAACAAATAAAAAAAAAACGGGTGGATGCGGCCGGTTCGGGAAACGTAAATGATGTCTCTTCCATACTGAATGAATCAGAAGTAGGCACAAATGTCTGCATACTGTGTGTGCATACTGAATAGTGGGTACTAACAGTATACAGCACGGATAGTACGTACTGCATACTGAAAGATTTAGTATGTACTTGGCAATTCCGATACGGCCTCTGTCTTATTTTGATGAGCGACCTGCTTCAGGAAGGGTTAGTATCTGAGCATTTTGAAAGCACTTTATGGAAAGAGTTTAATAAACTCCACTACAACAAAGACTGCTTATACCAAGGCTGACACAGTGGATTCCCAAACAATTGGTTAACATGTTGCCTACTTCACTTCTAAGTTTACTGGCCCATCCTGGTGGTCATTTTCTCCAGGTTTGTAGCCACTTCACTGTATGACAAGTCTAGTGTGGAAATGTCCTTAAAGTCACACTGTTAGCATGGTGATTCAACTTTTAGGTCCACACCTTGAACAGTCCAACCCCACAGACAAACATTTCAAATCTGTCTTAATGCATTGTGCAAACCATGACATACGTTTTATTTTCTTAATTTATTATTTTTGTCATAGAACTGAAAGCCGATAATGGCACAAAAGTGTCGATACCAGCAGAATGAACAACTCTCACATATACAGCACCTTTTCAGCATCACTAAAATATTGTCAATATCCAGAAGTAATAAATACTGAATTTACCAAGATTTTCAGTCATTTACAAAACACAAAGACAACACACAATAGATTTTGTGTCTCATTGAACTTTTCTTTTTTTTTTTTTTTTTTTTTTTTTTGGAATTGTTTTCCTTGATCTTTTGTTCCACAATTTCCAAACTTGCACGTACAAACATCTACAGTTTCTACACACAGCACATTGATTTTTGAATTGAACTCACATTTAGAGAATTTTTTAACCATTTCATAAACGGGTCAGAGTCAAACTGAAAAATAAAAGCAAACATAAATTCCTTCAGTCCAAACTACAGTGAAGGATAAAGTTCTTTGCAGATGATGGAGTTGTTTTCTTGCTTGGTCGGCACTTCAGGACTGATTCTTCAGACAGGTGTCTGCTTTATTTAGAACACGTCGTATAAATGCAGTCATCATGGATAAAACTCAAACCAGTGACCTTATTGATAGATTGTACATGTATGTATATATATATATATATTCAGACTGAATTCTACACATAGTAACATTAAATAGTTAACTACATTTTGAACAGGAGTGTCAATTTGACAAAGGTTGCTCTTTTGTTGGGTTGGTAAACCTTTGTCCTTCTGCAATTGGGTTTACCTCTGTTCTCAGAGTTGGGAATGTGTCCACTTTAAATGCTTTCACTTTCCCCTTTTAAACCGACTCATATGTACAAAGAAGTTTGTGTCGAATTGTACATAGTTTATGCACTTTTTTGGCTCCCTTTGCCTAAGTCTATTGCCTTTGCCGGCCAAATCTTGCACCTCTGTGACAAGACGAATTGCACAATTAAGAGTGTCCTCCTCATATTCAGGCATATATATTTTATGAAGGGCAACATGGGTCCAAGGTAAACAAGGAGCACAGCCACCACTTACTTACTTTCAGAACACATACTTTCACCAATTTTAACCCCACTTTGATTCAAAACAATCACTGCAAGCAACAAATCTATGCCATCATACAACAATGAAAACACTAGTTCTTGCTTTAGACAAAAACAGCTGGCATACAGGACGTCCAAGAACTCAGACAATACAATACAAACATGCGTCACGATCCGTTGAATACAGAAGGATTAGAGGGTTAAGTCATTATCGTGAATTTTAGATGTGATCCTTTACTGCATTTCTAAACAGAGGCAAGCCTCTGAGACTGGCTTTTATTCATGGGATTTGTATCAGCTGAAGAGCACCCAAGTCTTTTACAAAGAAAAAAAACCCAATAAAGTCTACAATGCATATATAGCAATAGGTGTTTTTATCTTCTTGTAGTGTAAATATATTTCCGTGGTCCCAAACTGAGCTGTATTCATCACCAAGATGAAAACACAACACAAATAAGTAGAAAAATATGTAACAGACGATTTAGAGTAACATTATGAACATCCACACACATCCATACACACATTACAGACACATCCAAATAGTCTCTCTAACACAAGGACAGGACATACTTGTTCATTAACTGTGCACAAAACAGCAACAGCATTTGAAATAATCTACATTTGACAGAAAGTAACAGTTCACCACTTGAGGAAATGTGTTAATGTTCATGCCTGAGCCCTAAATATGTAGCTGCAGCCTGGAGGTTATTAGCTTAGCTTGGCACAAAGACTGGAAACGTGGTGAAATTACAAGCCTGGGATATTCTGAATCTACTGTGGTTAACATTTTTTACCAAGTGGAAGATAGTTCACATCCTGTTAAAACTGGGAATTGTAGGCTATTAAATCATGGTGTGGTTTTAGGGGAGTTGTGTTCCATCCAATTTCTTCCAATTTTTGTGACCTTTGGCTGAAGCAGGCTAGCCGTTTCCCTTTGTTTTTCGGTTTGGTTGCTATGCTAAGCTAATCACATCCTGACTTTGACCACATGCTTAGCACGCAGGCTATGATGTGATTAATTCAACTTGTCAAAATGTTTAACTATTTTGAAGTCTCTCTCTCTACACACACGCACACAAAAGATGTCAGAAAACTTTTACTGCTAATGTCCATCATCTTTCTGAAGTTTCTGTTTTTGAGTTACATTATGAGTGGCTAACCCACAAGCCTCTTACGTCTTAAACATCCACACACAAACACACACACACGCACTTCCAGAGGATGTCTTGAGGTCAAACAACACACGAGAATGGGCAGCAGCAGCATCCATGATCTCACTCAATGATTGTCAGCCCACATATTGACGTACAGCTTTGGTGAAATGATACTGAAGTAGTGATATGTATCAATACTGGTAGTCATTAGCTTCAGAAGGATTCTGACAAATTCAGAGATGACTCATTCTCTCTTGTCCTCTGTGTGTACTTTTCTGTAAATTCTCTTACAGGCGGATTGAGCAGTATCATACAGAAACATATTTCATGATACAATTTCTCCACCTGGTAAAATAGATGCAGTAATGTAATAAAAGGAACCAGAGCCCTTAAAATTAAATAAGAGCCATATTTTGTAATCTCTAGTATCCTTTTTGTGTCACACTGACTGATCCATCTTTACAGATTTTTCTTCTTTTGGTCCCGTTTAATTTGTGTTAATGAGTAAAAATGAAGCAACATTATGACATCTAGGGGGTGTAACACTATATAAAGAATGGAAACTGAGTTGTTGTGTGCCTTAAAATAAAAAGACTAAAACAATCTGAGGATAGTCAGATGAAGTCGCAGACTAATAAAAAAAAGAAGAAGCAAATAACTGGACATTAATTTAACATTTTCTGACGTTTGAGGGGTTAAAATGACAAATCAAATGACTCGTTGGTAACTTATTGTGACATTAAGACTGATAAATGAAACTATTGGATGGAGCTGGAGGGTAATTAAATATCCTGTGTGTACAATTATTTGGTTGAGTGGTGGTAAAACACAATATCAGTTGTAAACATGGTCTAAATAGTACACCACACCTGAGCTACTTCATGTATTTAGTTATAATTTGTCTAAAATGTGTGACTGCTGCTCTGTACATTCTGCTGTTGGAACAGTAAACTATGGTCCGCACTGCTGCGATGAAATGAAGGAGTCGAAACAAGTAAACCAACGTTTTGTCTTATCTCACATAACACACATGCAGTCCCACACACATGACTTCTACTTCAGGCAACATTTTTACACCAACAGCATCTGCTCTCACATCGAGACACTAGAACAAAATCCATTCCTCAGATGTTCCCGTGTTTTTGCCGCAGCTGTATGATTCGACAACATGGGATTAAAACATGAGTTTCACACTGAACATCGAGAAGCTGGATCAAACTTGTACCGCTTAGAACAGATCGGCCTGTCTTGAGTGTCTGAGGTCGTAAAGAAGAGGAGGAGAGGTGACTTATGCAGGGACATAAGAAACATTCTGAATAAATCAGGCCTCAGTGGAATGTTTAGATCGTATTTGGTAGAAAATAAGAGCTCTCAGAAAATCTGGCTTTCAGAAGCAGGCAGTGGTCAAGAGTCAGGGGCGTTTTTTTTTTTTACATTTTTTTTTAAAGAATATATAGTTCCCCTTGATTGAATTCATTTGATGGATCCTAAAAGAAAAATATTGTATTAGTCTGGCTGTGAATGTAGAGTGAATTGTAAACACCACACTTAAGTAAAAACAAGCTCTGAAAGTCAGTCGACAAGGCCAAGGTCAGAATTGAAAAAATAAAAATAAAAATAAATACTGTAGCCTCTTTAATTGACATCTCTTTTCCCTCAATTGTGTTTGGAATTACGGATCTGTTGGCCCATAAAAATACTAAAAACAAATAGCATGCGATCCTTACTTCACACCTTATGTTGTACTGCATCAACCTGTTGGAACACACTTTTTTAAAAAGGATCTTTTGTACCTGATAGTACCCTTTGTCTTGTCACTGTGGCTCTGCGAAGACTTTGAATGATGCAGTCCATATTTCAAAGGATTCTTGGGCTAACAATGGAGATGGCGGTCTGTTCTGTTGGTGTGTGACAGGCAGCGCTGAAGCTCTCAGGGATGTTAGGGCTCTAGTTGTCGAACAACACACGACCAGCTGTGCTCCTGCTGCCCACTGCTGGCCGTGTCTCTTATTGCAACACTTGGCCTCGTGTCTCAGGTAACTTTGTTGCGAGGAAACTACCTGCGGCCAGCGCACCGGCGGCAAATAAGATGGGTACGGCTTTGGTGATGCCGACGAAGGACTGGAAGATGCTGATGCCCAAGACAGCGGCCAGCTTACAGAGAGCGTTCAGGAAACCAAAAGCCGTGCACCTGAACACAAGAAAATAGACACAAAACATGGATCATAATTAAGAGATTCAGCAACAAATACAAACTATACTCATTACTAGTTTCCTCCTTTAAATGAGTCTGCACTCAGAGTGTCACATTACTGTTTTAAAATGTACATAGTCTTACTTTTCTACAACTCCTCATTTGAAATTTGTAGATCAGAGCGGTCAAAATAGGAGATCAAGGGAAAAATCTAAAACACTACTGATGTAGAAGCAGGTCCTATTGCAGCCTTCATCAACTTAAAGACACAGATTCTGCTGACTCAGTAAAACATCATTTGTGAGGCAAGAAAGTTCTTACACATTACAGAGAGAAACAAAGAGTGTTGCTTCCCTTTGCTGCTTTGACGCATGAGCGTTTATGTGTGCACCAAGCAACAGTATCTACATGTGTGCCATCTGTGCTCCTACATTAAGAGCAACGTGTTGTTTGACTGAATATAATACCCTAACGCAGTGCTTCCCAAAGTGTGGGCCGTGGGCCCCTGGTGGGCTGTGTGGGTACTGCAGGTGGGCCGCAAAAATAACAGAAATATCACAATAATGATGATTTACTGAGTTAACCCTTTAAGTGATTAGCAATGCGTGTAATGACTATTCATAGACATCATTTTTAGTAAACTTTTGTGTCTATCTTGCCATAATATCATTTTGTAATGTCCAATAATTTACCCTAACTGAATGTTATAGATGTAGTCATAAAAATAAATCTATAATGGGCCCTGGAGTACTAAGTTTGGGAAAGGCTGCCCTAATGTTTTGAAAAAAAAAGCTTTTTTCAGTATTCAACAAAAAGTCAAATCTTTTTAACAGCCATGAGTTGCTGCCTTTCATGTTACCTTTTATCTGAGGGGTAGAGCTCCACAGTGATCACATCCAGAGCGTTCCACGAGGCAATGCTGATTCCTCCAAACAGACACAAGAGGGCAATCATCCCTGACTCACTGTTTCCAAACATCAGGAAGAAACAGCTGACACAAGAAATGACACTGGAACCGGCTGTTTGGAGACAAAAGGGACAATCTAATAAAAACAGCCCTCATGGCCACAAATGAGTTAACCACGAGTCATTAGATTTACCCACCGAGCATCCTTAAACGACCAATTTTGTCCATTAATAGAGCTGACACGATGTTGCCAGGCAACACAGCCAACGTGCCAAGGAAGTTGACAAAGTAAATCATGTAGGCATTGTTGAAGTCGTCGCTGAAGTCGAGGATGCAGCCCTCTTTGTTGTGCAGAAATGTGCTGTTGAAGAGTTTACAGTCGACGAACCGGTATTTGAACAAATCTGATAAAAGAGAAAGAGAATGAAGGGTCATTGCCCTCTTATTGAAGATATCAAACATGAGGAATTGACTGACATAACGGCAAGCATGTCATTTTAAAAAAGCAAAGAGGGAGAAAAATATCTGCTTCTGTTTGAAGTAGCATATTGATCAAACGTTCACTTTTTCTCATTGCACAAAAGTGTTTTCTGAAAAATCCAGACAATAGAAGAGTACATCATGGCAAAATGTTTAAATACTGAAACACTCTAAATCTACTTGAGCAGTGACAGAGAACTTGTAGAAATCTTCTCCTTGATTTGACCTCTCAGACGAGGCAGCGTCATCAAAAGAGGTAAACTATAAAGTACCCTGAAGGCAGCATGGACACTCTTACTTTCAGGAGGGAAATACTGTGTGATACAATTTTATTTACATTTAATATTCTGATGCGAGGAACTTTCATGCCCCACTGGACGAAGCATTTGACCTCTTTGCTTCTCTGACCCGTACATGTGTGATTAGTATTCTGTAATGGAAAGACCTGCTGTATTCAACCCGTCAAATGTGTCACTCACCCTGAATCTTTGCTACAGACAACGTTCACAAACGCTGTTAGGTAATGTGCTGTAATCCACTCTGTATTACTCCTATTGTAAGGCAGAAGTAATAGGCTTTAGTTATTACTGTATGAAATTAATCGATCTCATAGCTGATGGTGTTGTTAGCTTCTTTAGGTCATATAGAGGCAACCGTTTTGAATTCAATCTGTTTCATGAGCAGCAAAAAAATATGCTGGAGGTGAATACCAAACTAAGATAAGGAATTAAAGCTCTCTAACTTTATAACTTCAGACTGTGAAAAAAAAAAGATGAACCAACATGTATTATATCTCTTCAAATTGACTTTGTAAGGAGTTTACTATCAACAAAGATGACAAGTTTTCTACAAAATGTTTTGATGAAAGCATGACGAGCCTCATGTTTTAGAAGGAAGAGAATCTGAAATGTTGTCTGCCTGTCCTCAAAACCTTTCAAACCATTCTGCATGAATTATTAGGTTTCAAAAAAACATGAAAAGAGGGGATTGAATAATCAAGAAACCAGGACGTTTGCACAGCCACCACACAACCAAGACAGCATCTGTTTTTAATCAAAATTCCTTTTCGGGCAAAAAACTAAACATTAAAATGCATCTATCACCAGGAGCTTTTCATAATCAAATTACAGGACAAATGTAGAAAAGATCGGCAGTGGTCTCTAAGTCTCTCAACACCAGCTTTCATCGAGGTTAAAGCTCTCTTACTCTTTTACTCTTTTTTCTGTTTTCACTTTCTGCAGCTGCACAAACTGCATCGCTCGATTTTCTGATGACACTGCTGAAAAGCATCCATACCAATAACTAATAACAGCTTTGTGAAAGGGTGACAGACATAAAGGAGCTGGATAATCATCAAGTTTCAAATGCAAAAGATGACATGTAAATGAAAGAATGTACTGCTGGAATAAGGGACTAGATGATGCTGTAAGAGGTTAAGATTAAAGTCTTGTGTTGGCAGAGTTTGAGCGTCTTCTTAGGCTCAATCTGATATGTTGATTTGAAATTCAAGCAGGAATCAAAACCATAAACTACAGCTTCAACACAAACTGTTTTTCCTTCTTTTTGTGTATTTGTAGAGCAGATTTACACGTAGAAATGATGACATAAATGATGCCATCTTTGCACAAACATGTTTGTCTTTGGTCAGGTCGTGTCATTCCTAAATCTGTTTTTTTTTTTCCTAATGATGAAGCTCTTGTTCTGCTTTGTCTGGACCATGTTTACGTTGCTATAGCAACACTTCTGCTGCGAGGTAACCCCGGGATACTGGCAACAGATTGTTTCTATGGTTGCGATCCAGCTGAACAAATGGGTTTAATCTTTTCTCTATTTTTACTTCAGGTCATAATAAAGTGATTTAAATTCATGTAATGATAAATCCTGTTGACTTCCAAAGAGCATGTGTTACACAAGTATAGTGATTTTCAGTTTTTCTCTGTTTTACATCACTTTAAAAAGACACACATCAACATTTGAGACAGATAATAATCACTAGACTCTGATAATCCCCTCAACACCACAGTGATCGTTAAAGCGTCTTATTTAACTGTTGCTTTGGTCTCATGGTTTGCAACTTCAGTGTTTTTATTCATCAGCATTGATTTGATAAACAGCATGCGTTTGTTTCAGCCAGGATGCAGGGTGCATGTCCAGCAGCAGATAGACACAGTAAGCCGATATTTAGCACTAATAGTGAAGCGTTTGGCGGAAAGAAAGGGGGATAATGAGACTAACATGCCTACATGCAGGGTTTCCAGAAACATTCTTTCAAATTAAAGTTAATGTTGCGACATGTCTGTTGAATGTGTAAATAGTCAAATATGTTCCCCCAACTTAACCGTGTTCAGCTTCTTCTCCTTTCTTTAAATTGTCAAAGAAAAATAATCATGCAGGTTTATGTTGAACATCTTTAGATTGTGGACTTTTGATAGAACCATTTCATGTAGACTAAACCTTGCACTCATTGAGTTTGCAAAAGGAATTTAACAGTTCTTCTTGACATTTTCTTTACTGAAAAATAATCCATTAGCAACTTCAAAGATCTCAGTTTGGTTTTCTTTGGCAGCCTCTAAACGCTGATGCCATTTGGGTTTTTGGACCTCACTCTAAAAGAGATCCAAACAGCATCATGGCAGAGAGCTCGCCTGTCTTTATCTGCATCTATGATTTAGCTTGTTTTTTCTTTGATTTAGCACTTGATGACTACATTGACTGTATACAGTAAACTCAGCAAAGACAGGAGAAAACAATACGCTGCTTCCTCCTTCTCTCTCTGCTGTGACACCAACTGATGGCTGAAGGACACTGTTCCACTTTCTCCTGGATGATGTGAATCAACACCCACTTTCATGATAAGAAAGATTACTACAAATGCAAAGTTTCTGTCTGAAATAACTAGTGACTTAACATTTTTAACTGTGAATATTCAAGATTCTAACTGATTTAAAATTCCTTTGAAGCCCTGTTTTAAAAACCTAATACACATCACTAACAAGCGCACACACACCATTGTTTTACACTCATATGTACCTGTATTGTAGAACAAACTTGCAATAAAAGTGCAGTTTCTGAAGAAGGTGTGTGTGGAGGTGATGTCCTCAAAGTAGCACTCCTCAAACATAGAGTCCTCAAACACCATCGACTTCATCTTCAGGTTCAGGAACCTGCAGAACGAGTCACATGGTTGCATTTTTGTATACATACAAAACATGAATCTAATTCTACAGGTTCTGTTTCTTTAAGCTCACAAAACATTTACTTGTCATTGAAGTAGTGTCCTTGGCGATGGATTTGGTTTTCCAGGGTGAAGTTAAAGGTGACGTGCTCCACTCGCTCCTTAGTGAAGGTCTTTGTGCGTGCTTCATATTCCTGCCTCTGGATGTACTTGATCATGTCGGGGAACCACACCGTCAGTCCATAGTAGCTGCAGAGTTTTCACAGTCAGGACAGATACAATGAGCCTCAATAATGAATGGGATTCATCCAATAGGAAATCTTTTATGAGTCTTTATTTTACCTGAAAGACATAGTGAACCAAACGGCCATGAGCATGAAAGTCCTCCGTTTATACTCTGGGCTGAAACACGCAAGAATGTTGTCCTTGATCTGCAACATGTACACAAAAAGACACAATTTTTAAAGTTTAAACTCATTTAACATATTTTACATGTGCAAACGTTGCATAGTTCTTCCTTTAATCCTATAATTTTTCAATTCATAGACATTTCTGAGCTGAAACAGGCACTTTTCACAGCTAAATGTGTTTAACTGAGCTATATGACTGTATATTTATATGGGCAGCTTGTCATGCATTTTATGTTTTCATATGTTTTATGTTAAAAACCCTCAAATCTACTCAGTGTACTGGGTCTTTATTTTCATGGATGAAATGTTAGCTATCTGCTAAATATCTTGTAAAGCAAGAGCAGAATAATCAGCCATGAATGTTTCCTGCAAGATTTCCTCTTGACAGATTTTCTTGTTTGGCCATCACAGGGAATTGTATCTTTACAGCTCTAACTTCAAAAGTGATTTTTTAGTACAGGCATTAAACAGAGGGGTGGTGCATTCATAAACATTGAAGAAAATGGAGGGTGTAGATGTGTAGGTGTAGTCTGAATGCAATTTGATAATGATGCACAAAGCTAGTAAAGGTCCTCATTGAGCATTGTTGCTGCATTAAATGTGTGATACAATTACATTTGCAAACCTTGCAAACTTAAATTCTCAGTTTCAATCTAAGTTATAGAGGCACTGGGTCCAAACATTACCAGCAAAAATGCATATTTTTGTTTTCATTCGTTTCATCCAATTCAATTTAAGCTGTCAAAATGCTGTGGTCTGATGTTTATATGGCAGGAAATACATACATTTGTTGATTTTCCTTTTAATTTTCTCTTTACCAACAAAGGTCAAGAGAAGAAAATAATAAATTGGGAAAATGCTGGCCTTGCTTCCACCCACATCTCCATCCCTGCTGCTCATTTACACAAATTCAAACTCCACTGAGACCTTTAATGAGCCCAGAGTCATAATTTGGTACTAACTGTAACTATCTCAGATCTACAGCGTTCTTTTACTTCCTGTTTTTTAAATTTGGCTACAGATTATGTTTGAATAACAAAAATCTCCCATTTGCTCAAATAAAAACCCAGGTTTACTGGGTTACTGGTTTATTACTTTGACTGTTTAAAGATAATTCCTGCTGGATTTCACTCACCTGTTGGGAGAGGCTCATGATCTTCAGCCGGTAACGCTGCCAGATGGGAGTGTCGGTGCCAGTGTCCACCAGCTCGTCCATCTGTTTCACCGTCTTAATTGTGGTGACCTTGGATGAAAGAAACAAAAGTGTTTCAGAAGCCAACTCCAGCCAGTTGTCAGAGAAGGAATCTTCATGATAATCAAAATGTTTTGACAAGTGACATCTCTGAAAAAGATTTCTGGGGGTGCCGATGTACTGAGGCTGTAGTCCTGGTTCAAATCTGACCTGTGGCTACTTTCTGGCATGTCATTTCCCACTCTCCCCCTCTCTCTCCAATTTGAACTCTATCCACTTGCCAATAAAGGCACAAAAAATAAAAAATAAATCTCAAAATAAAAAAGATTTCCTTCTTCTTCCTGCAGCTCTGTATCCTGCAGAGGATTTTTCCCAAAATTGTGATGCATTCCCACTTTCCCCTGTGCCTTTTAATTTGCATTAAAAAAAACAAAATGTTTGAAATGTTTGAGTCTTAAAAAAAGGAAGTTTTACTTTTTCCTTTATTAAGAGTTACTAAATCAATGACAGAAACCTCTTCTGCTCCCACAACTCATTTTTAACTAAAAAACATTTAATTTTCTCTTTCTTTTTTTCTCTTTGTCACTTTAACATGTTTTTATTTCAACACATTTAAACCTGAAAGTAGATTTTATTTACATATAGATATACTCACAGAAAACACTTTCTCTGGGTGTCCCTTTGCTCGCATATTAGTGTCGTGAACTTGCTTCAGAATCATCCAGCCTTCGTCATGTTTGCCATTCTGTTTGAAAAAAGTACACAACATATTGCGGACATTTTTAATATTCTTTCTGTAAAATCGCATCCCCTTCGATTAAATAATCAGAAGAAGAAAAATCGTTCTCAAGACAAAGCACTTTAAGTTTTGGGTTTTTGTCTCAGCGATAACTTCTAGCTGTGCGAGCAGCTGACACTTGACATTCACATGTGCTGACCTCTAAGTAGAAGCGTGGGCTCTCCGGCATGGCACTGAGGGCAGCGATGGCAGCAACAGCGGGAAAAGCGCACACTAAAACAAACACACGCCAGCTGTGGAACTGGTAAGCAGAGCCCATCTGGAAACTCCATCCTGTTGACCAAGAACACAAAACAACCCAAAGAAATGAGCTCACACTTACCCTACAAACATGATTCAAATCAATAAGGTCAGTCGAGAGTTTATTTAATTTGATGTGACTCAGGATGAACCATGTTCTTGTTTTCTTGCCTCCAGGGAAGTCAGAGGTCAGCCTCAGTGCAGCGTGTCTCTGAGAAGATGCTTTCCAGCTAACAGGCTTATTGCCTGCATGATTTCACCAACTAGTTTATACTGAAATGTGCTTATTCACTTTCTAGTAGAGATTTTTATGAGAAAACTGAAACTGTGTTCACTTTTGTCAGTTAAATATGAAGCTGATGTTTCCAGCTGTTTAGCTTAGCATTAGGTTGATAACAGCTGTCCTAGCTCTGTCAAAAGGTGGCATAATCCAAATTGTCTACCAGTGGCTTGAAAGCTCAGTTATTATAAATGTCATATAATTTATTTTGTTCACACAAAGAGAGTGAAGAAAATGAGCATTTTCCAGGGGATATGTAGCAGATTATTCTTTTCACTAGGACTTTTCAGAGACAAGGAATCGTTCTATATACGGCTAAACTAAGCTAAGCTAACTATTTATAGCCTTATATTAAATATTCACATGTGTGTTCAGTGTGTTATCTACATTTCACCTAACTCTTTGCAAAACGCTAAAAAGGATATTTCCAAAAGTGGTGAACTATGGCTGTGATTGAAAACCAAAATGAAGAACATTAGCTAGTTTGATTGCTAACCCGCAACTCAGGGAGGGTAACTGTTTCCTTACTCACCATAATGTGGGATTATAGCCCAGGCCATGGCAGATGCATATATTCCCCCGATCATCCAGAACATGCAGAGCCAGCTGAGGTGCTCACCACGTTTCTCTTGGGCCAGAAATTCAGAGTAGAATGAAAACACGATGGGAATTGAGCCACCGATCCTGTAAAGATCAGAAACAAACTAAGATGAAGTGTTTAATGTTTTACAACAGAATTCAAGAGACACACACGTATAATTAAGATTCTCAGATTCTCAGCATTTTAAAATATAGGATTTACATCTCTGCAAACTCCTGTAGGTATAACAAGATTAACACATCCTGAATTTTCATCCTCCAATCCTTATTTTACTAAACTGTTTGTTTTTTTGGGCCCAAAAATCTAAAACATATTTGCTTGTATCCCTTCACCATCTTGGTGTAGCACTGACTTTGATTGATTGGACCACAATTAGATTTTCAGTCTCAATTTGCCACTTCAATGAACCAGAGAAACTGCAATTTTAAATAATGTCAAGGCTTTCACGTTTTCAAAACATTCTATATGCCAGAAGATAATTAAGACAGGAATCTACTAATGGTGCAAGTCACACTCAAAATTGGGCAGTGAGCTACTACAACAAAGAATACATGTATTGTAAGGTGAAGCGATTAACAAATCAGAATTAAAGTGACCAAAATGTAAAAATTATATATGAAGTTTTCAATTTACCCAACACCTGAGAGGAGCCGGCAAAACAGAAAGGTGCTGTATCCCTGGACGAAAGAGGAGAAGAAGGAGAAGATACTGTTGATGGAGAGAGAGATGAGAAGAGACTGTCGACGACCTATCCGGTCAGCCAGAGCCCCCCAGAGGAACGCCCCCACCATCATCCCAAAGTATACAATCAGACCTGTGGAGTGAGAGAGAGAGAGAGAGAGAGGGCACAACATGTCAGTGTTTGTTATTCAAATTATTTTTTTAAGTATTCAAATTTTAATTTAAATGCAGAACTTTTTATCTGGTATTGCATTATTGGCTTTGCAAGTGTAAACTTACTATGCTGACAAGAGGACATTCAAAACATGCAGGAAACAGTTCAGATATTCCGAGCAGTAATGCGCTGGGTTTTTTTTTTATTTCTTCAAAAAATCATTAATTGCATGTTACAAACAGCAAAACATACAAGAAGTTATTATGCATCTCAGCCCTCAGTTTTTACTTCAGTGCACACCTGATAAAGGATATAGTTAGCTTATACATGGACGGTTCTAGGCAGGGGCCAACAGGGGCCAGTGCCCCTGTAACTATGAGCTTGGCCCCCCCTTGTGGCCACCCCTCCAAAAGGAAGAGCCCCATAACACATACACAGTATATGACTCAACAACTGGACTCACAATCTAGTATTAAATATTGTTACTGAAACAAATATAAATCCAGGTATTTAATGACGTGTGCTATTATTTGGCATAATATATTTTTTAAAGCGATTATCTTTGTCTATTTTTCACCTGGGTTTAATGTTCCCCTCTGACAAAACAACTGGCCCCAGTTTGGCCCCCTCAGTAAAAGTGGTCTAGAATCTTGTTGAATGTGCTAAACGATTGTAGGACACTTGCCTGCTCTCAGGACGAGGTGTGATACTACAAAAAAAACAGAGCCAGTACAACAGAAGTAGAAGACACAATCACTTACCCAGCATGCTCTTGTTGGGTTCGGACAGGCACATATCCTTCTCAGCGCTGGGCAGCACAAACCCGACCACGAAGATCTCCACACCATCCGCCATTAGAGCCAGCCCCAGCACAAAGTACAGGGTCCACTGGAACTTCCCGTGACCACACTCCTGTAGAATGGTCTCGTACTGTTGAGCCAGCTCCTCCTGGTCCTTCCTCCTCTCTGCCTCAGACACTCCGATGTCTCTGAACTGCTGAGCGTCGGCCCTCACCGACCCTGGGCCTCCTGCAAGGCTTCCCTTTCCCGACTCTGCCCTGGGAATCCCCTGGTACTCGCCCTCGTAGATCTCATCGTCTTCATCGTGGCCCTCTGTGGAGTCACTGTGGCCGCCCTCTTCATCGTTGGCCGCCTGGCTGTCTCCGCGGTAATAGCCTCCATCCTGGCTGCCCTGTGTCGGGTAGTCATCATCATCGTCCTCCTCAAAGCGGCTATAGGAGCGCTTGCTGTACTCATCGGTCACTCGATCCACCGAACGGCCGACCTTCTTACTCGCTTGTCGTTTGACTTCTTTGGCAATGTCTTTGGCACCTTTTATGAAGGCAGTCCGGTTTTGGTAGCCTTCCTCCATTTTAAAGAGGTTTGGCAAATGTAAAGGTGGTCAAAGGTTAAGTGGAGAAACCACCTGTTTGAATTTATTGAAGGAGTGCCACAACGATCCAACAAGGTGACTGACTTGAATGTAAACTGGTTTTTCTTATATCTGTGGAGAAAAATGGAAAATAAATGAGACCATTTAATTTGTTTATTTTTGTAATTAATCTTGCAAGTAGTTGGAGGACTATGGTAAAAAAAAAAAAAGAGAAGCATTTGATAGGAGCTTTGAAACTGCCGCATCATATTACTGGTGACACCTTACAACAGATGACCTAGTAGGCCTCTCGTCTGATGAAAAACTAAAAGGGACACAAAATGGCAAATCAGAAGAAAGAATTGCTACAAGGGCTCAAAGAAAGTAGACACAAAGCCACAACAGAGAGGTGAAAGGAGAGCTGAGAGACAGAAGAGACCTTAAAAGGGGAAGCAAAACTGCTCCAAGTAGATGCGAAATGAGAAACAAAAGATTTTAACTGACCACAAAGAGAAAGACATAACTACAAAGACCATAAACTACAATTTATCTGACTTTGTAGAGATTTTAAAAAAGACAGAAAAAGAGAGAAAAGGGAATATTAAGAGAAACAAAACTATCACAAACAGAGCAAAAAGACATCAAAGAAAGAGACCGAAATGTGCTTCAAAGAGACGAAAAAATTAGGGCTTACAAAAGCCTGAAAGAAAGACTGAAAAAGGTACCAAAAATGGTGCTGTGTCCAGTCATTTTGTCTTGTTTGCTATGGTGTCTTTACCAAAGCTGAAAGTGAATTTATCTTGTATCTTAGTATCTTAGACTTCTTCTATCTAAATTCATCCATGCCTATCACTGTCCAGATGTGTTTTTTTCTTCTTTGAACTAATCCGTCTTCTTTTAAAATTCAGCTAACCAAACCACCCCATGATTGAGTTTACATCAGCCTACACCTGTTGCATTTCTGTCTCAGCCCATTGGCGCTCACTGCTGAGTCACAGGCGGCCTGAGAAGTAATTACAAGAGCGAGACATGAAGTCTGGAAAAGTGAGGTTGATTTTTAATGGATGTCTCTCGGTGCAGAAATGCCCTGAACGCCTCATTTAAAGTTCCTAGTGAAAAGCTACAATCCTACCCATGATATTAATGTAATGTGACTGAGAAAGTGTTTCAAAGGATCAGACGAAACACAATCTCAGCAATGCCTTCTCTATATCACAAAAATACATCTTTTTCATTAGTTCTGTTAATGACTGCACACAAAAACCTGAACTGAAATCTGAGCTTTTGAAAAGTGTAATCAACTCAATGTGAAGCTGGACAAGAACATATTTACAATATTGGATGAAACCAAAATGAATTAATCAGATAAAGCTGTAAAATGTTCTTTATTTGAAAAAACAAATGATTAAGAGGAGCTGTGAGGGAAAAAACAAATGAGGCCTGAAATTGATTTTTTTTTTTGTGGACAGGAAATTGATATGTTTAATCTTTCTGTTGCAGAATCACATCTCCTTTTGAGAGAAGAAAATGTATAAGTCACTGACTTGTATAGTTCACTGATGATACACACATCCATATGCATTTGTATTAAGACACTGTGAGCCTCAGGTCAATGTGCAATAAGACACAAAGCTTTGATTTGGAGGTGCAGTGGAAACAGCAGAAAGAATTAAATACATCACAGCTAAGCTCCCTTCGACCCCCCCAGTTTTAAATGTCTGCCTGATACAAAGTGCAAACCCCATTTTGGTAAAGAAGTTAGGGGTCAGACTGATTAGCCTTTAAAAGAAATCTGTGAAATTTCTTGGTGATATTTTTCTTCATCTGATTCTTTAACTTAATATTTTCTGTTATGTGTAAATCCCCACACAGTGCTTTTTAATCTACTTTTTTTCAAGAAACAGTCCACAGTATGTTTAGATTAAAAAAAACAGGATCAGCCTTGAAAACTTCACCTTTTGTAATTGCAGAATAGCAGAATTGATCTCTCTGTTATTTAAATCAATAAATAAACAGACAAAAATACTCTGTAAATGTTAACAAAAGTATGTCCTGAATAAAATTCTGTTTGTTTAATGGTGCAGTTAACGTGAGTAGATCTACTAGCTGCTGTTAAGATGTACAATATAATAAGTTCAGTAAGACGGGGTGTTAATTATAATGTTTATTATCATGGATAATGAAGTTAGCACCAACAGTAATCATATTCCAGCATCTCTATTTTGTACATTGAAACATAATCCCCGGTCATAAATCTTCACTGTCAGCGAGTGCAGAGCAGCAGATTTACTGGCACTGATTTAAGGAGCCCTGCTGGCCTGGTCAGCCCGGATAAACTGTTGGGTCTCTAACCTAATAATATCCTGAACTCAAGCACAAACAGGCCTGCAATTACGATCCCCTAACAAACACACAAGCCTGGAGAAAACAAGGAAACATCAAGAAAGCAGAGTTTGGTTAAGCTACTGCAAACACATGAAAGTTTCCCTGCACAGGTGTTTTAAGGTCTCTAGCTGAAGGGGACTTAAACTTAACTTATAATGAGCTAAAGTGTGAAAACAACATATTTGATTACCTATTAGCAACCAACGCAACAGCTAGTATAAGCAATCAGTACCTTGCTAACACTATAGCTACCATTAGCTAGGAATTTACTGTTCATATTGTAGAACATAACACATATAATATGAGGTAAGGTTATCTGTAATGTTTTCTCTAAGAGGTGACTGTATGCTAATATTAGCTGTTGTCTTTTGGTAGCACAGACTGTAAATAATAATATGTAGCCTATATACAGTAGGCTATATGGTAGGTAGCTAATGGGTTATCAAACACGTTGTATTTAGGCTACTTGATTATTGCTCCAATATTCCTGAAGATTGTCACTATGCCTTTTTTCAGAGTTTCTTATCACTCAAGAAATTGTTAAATTGTAATGATAGTAAAGAATATGAGCTTTCCACCCTGAATGAGATGTCAGAGGAAAATGGCCGCTGTGTGCTTAAAGTAGCACCAGTGCTTTCCTTTCCATGCTAAATAACAATGTCTACTGTTTTTTTTTTTTTTAAAGGCTTATACTAATGAAGTTCTCATTGTTTGGTCATTATTCCAGTATTTTAAATGGCTCCACCACACACACCTTCGATATTGCCTTTTTTCACACCTTAATTTAAAGTTGCCTCAGTGGATAGATGACAGTGCTGTGACCATGTCAGTGAGATGCACGGTGAACACAAGCAGAGGCTGAAAGGTCATTCAACCATGACTTGTTGTATTGTGTTCACCTGTTTTCCTATTATGACATGTCAGAAATGTTTGAAAGATGTTGCAAGAGAAGCTCCAACGTATATTCTTCTCAGACTCAATAGTGTAAAAGTAATAGCGTTTGGTGGGTGTAATATAGATAGATAGAGAGATAGAGAGATAGAGAGATAGATAGAGAGATTTATTTACTTATTGAATCCTTTATGCAACAGGTAAGAAACAGCTTCGCTCATTTCATTATAATTCAGAGTAAAACCAAAAGAACAGTGACTTCACAGCCTTTCTAAAGGCTGTGAAGTCATTGTTCTTGATTCTTCACTGTTGTCAACTTGACAGCAGACTACAACACACATCCGTGTCAGTGAAGAAGAGCAGGCAGGTCTGAGGATGAGGAAGAGGAAGAGGAAGAGGGAAAGGGTCTGTTATTGCTCCCTGGCCTGAGCAAGCCTTTCAATGTTTGTTTCTTTCCCTCCCCCTCTATTCAAAAATCAATCAGCATCAGTTTACCATTTCCTTGCAGGGCGAGCAGAGCTGATAGCCATCACATCACATGCACCCAAGATATAAAAGCACCAGATTTTTTGATCAGTCGTGAGTTTCCGTTATGAATGAAATGGACAACTGAAGATAAGAGTTAATCATATAAACAAGCAGAAAAAAAAATCGTATTTTTAGCTTATTAATATGCGTTCAAATTCATATATTTTCAACATAGTAGAAATATCAGCATATGTTGTTGGGTTTAGTGTCTTGCAGGGTTCGTATTAGACGCCTTAATTCAAGACTGCTTGATAATAAGCAAACATTAATCACCCACTCAGTCATAATCGTCTTCATTTATGCAAAAGGCCCTTATCGCTAACAGGCCAATTTAAACAAATGGCTGGATTAATATTAATCTGTCACAAATAGCAGCCGAGAGTGTTTCCTCGTCTGCTTCCTGACATCTGCGTTCATTCTTAGAAATCTCACTTGCCAACAGCTTGTCACGACTTGGATTAGATTATAGAAAGGCCCGCGTCTCGATTCACAAAATCGATCTTTATTGCTGTGTGAAGCAAACGGGTTGGAGAACACGCCCATCGTCTCTTTACCCGTGATGTCTTAACGCAAAAAAAAGAAGAATAAATGCGCTATAACACGCCGTCAGTACCTTTAAAACATGCTCATTAATGTAGAAGATATTGTAGAAGCTCACCTCTCTCCCTGCGCGGTGCTCCCTCTTCAGAGATGGTGATGAGGAGGATGGGGAGGAAGATGAGGATGATGATGCGTACGGGGCTGTCTCTGTGAACCGAGTGATGATGAGGATGCTGTGCTGGTTTGGAGGAGAGAAGCCCACGCCATCCACACACTCTCAGGGATTTGCAGGGGTCCCCTCCCCCCATGCAAACCTTCACGACATTAACGCCTTCATATCTGGAGGGCTTTTTTATTTCCTCCGGAATATTTTTTGCGCACTTCTGCATCCGTATACTGTCCCCCAGCTCTGTGCCTTTAACGCGTGCATTTTGTACTTTAATGGGATCTAAATGCAATTTTGCAAATGAATGGGCTACATGTGTTATTCAATTTAAAGAAAAACTGAATCACATTATTTCCCCTGTAAATGTGCATGCCCGCTAACACGAGCACAAAAACCGTACTCTCAGATTGTATTTTCATTCAACACGAATGCTGAATTGTGAACAATTTTACACGTGCAAGCGCACCTGACTCCTGTTGCTATGCCAACCATTTGCCATATTCTTCATCCTTTCTGCTGCATCAAAAATGAAGAAACATGGGCTTTTCTCACAGTGTGATGTAGCAAACTGCACCATTCAAAAAAAAGGACGTACAGTATAATATTTTGCTTTATTTTTTTCCTCTCACACACAATAAGCTTTCCTTTATTAGTACTTGTGTCCTCATTGCAGTTTTTGGGATGTTTATTTAAAGCCTGTAATAAACTGTTTTATAGCCAACAGTGGTTTGGATAAGAGTTTTGTTTTTAAGAAAATCTTTAATGTGGGGGAGTAGAGATGTAGAAATTGAGAACATTTCTTGGATAAAAATACTCAATACTTATGATTCATAGTTTTTTTAATTTAAATAACGAGGGGAAGTGTTTATGGCTATTGTGGGACATGTGTAAGCAGCTTATTAATTAAGTACATATCTGGTCTAGCCAGGGGAGATACTGACCATGCTGCAATTCAGCATATATGATATTCCCAAATAACTTTGCTTTCTTGAAAATGAACTAAAGAAGCATCATTTTAATCATCTTTCTACAAAATTAAAAACCATTGCAAAGTACATGTTAATGCGAGAAAGAAAAAAATTGTACTAAAAACTTTATTTGTCTTCATCTGTACAGTGACAAAAAAAAAAAGAAGGTACAAACGGCAGTTAAATTATTCTCACTATTACAAACTTGAGTAGATTTTAACATATTAAAAAAGAGCTAAGCTGCAGTCTGAGGTGGATTATGGGGGCATTGGTGCTCTCATAGGAACACGTGGAGGGACGCCGGGGGGCCTTGGAGGCATAGGAGGTCCTCGCTGGAAACCAAAAGGAGGACGAGGAGGACCAGCGCCGTAGCCAGGTGGAGGCATGGGGGGAGGGGGCCCTCTCATACCTGGTGGCACAGGTGGACCTGAGAGAGAAAGAGAGAAAGAGGGTCATATTGTGCTAAAACACCTATCTTATATTTGAATCCCATTGAATGCCATTACTCTCCAAAAGGTAAACACTATCTCAGATTTATGAACAGGAATCATATCGGACTCCACAGTAATGGAGAATAAACTTTTGAAATATTACAAAAATAAGAACTTCAGACAATCAGACAAACATATGCAAGTTAAAACAATTATTAAAATGTTCCTCTATTATTAAGCTTTCTGCTCCATCTATGCAAATAAAAAAGATACTTCAGCGCCCATTCTGTCCTCACTTATGCATGGTTTGTGTTGTGGCACAACATCTGTTTAAACCATAATCTCAATCATGATCGATTATGATGACCGATTTCAACTCATTATATCATCCCTACCAATGAGCTTAACTTTGAACACATCATCACAACCAATATGGGATACACTTTGTGCTATCATTCAGATCAAGGTGAGTCTGAAGATCAAGGCGAGGCATTTGTGAACTGTTTTGTTTTACAACAACTCAAGGAGATGTAACAGTGCTTACCCATGGGAGGTCCATATGGTGCTCTGGGTGGCATGCCCATAGGTGGGGGTGGGGGCATCCCAGGGGGTGGCGGTGCCCTTGATTGATTTGATCCTGGAGGGGCAGGAGGTGGAGGCACCATGCCAGGAGGAGCAGGAGGGGGCATAGGCATCTGAGGCATTCCTGTGGAACACGAACAATAAAGTTTACAGGCAAGCAAAAGCAAAGAACCAGTCCCATGTTCTGCACTGTCTACATTTTTGCAGAGAAAAAAAAAAAAGCACCTGCATTTATCATGCAACCACTGTGGAGAAAGTTCAAGTTTACCTGGATGCATGCTGCCAGGAAAGGGTGGTGGTCCGGGGGGAGGCCCACCACCAGGTTGCATGCCCGGTGCCCCTGCATTCGGAGGCATGGACATTGAAGGGGGCATGGAAGGAGGCATGGACCCAGGAGGAGGAACGTTAGGGAAACCAGGGGGTGGCATGCCTGCACCAAAAACAAGTTTTATTTACAATTTATAATTTTATCTTCTACGAGTCCACAAAGACATACTGGCTGCTAAATCTTGTCACCCTCAGCCACAAATCTGTTTTACCAGGAATGCCTCATAAAAAGGCTTTGTCAGCCAAGAGTAAATTTAATTCATGTTATTAAAACCAACAGATTAAAGATCCATCTTTTAGAGTTAGATAAGCCTATCTATATACCCTGCTGTCATTGAACTCACATATAACCAGTCATTCCATACAGATCCTGTATTCTTATTATGAAAAGCATTAAGAAACTAGCTTAAGAAAAGAGGCAAGTACACAGTATTTCAGTCATACCTGGCATTGTCATCCCACTTCCCAGAGCCGTTAGGACAGGTGTCGGAGCACTTGGCGGTGGCGGAGCGTCTGCAAACAGCTGATGTGGTCTGTCGGCCTGGGAGAGAGGGTTCTGTGCAGCCAGGAGTCGCTCTGCAGCTGAGCCATGTCGCTCTCCTTTAGAATCCTTCTTGAAGGCGTAGGACACTGTGATGGGTCTGTTGCAGAGGTACTGGCCGTTCATGGCTTCAATGGCGGCATCGGATGCGTCAAAACTAGCAAAATTGATGAAAGCATAACCCTTGGAGTTGCCAGTGTCTGGGTCTCGCATGATCTTTGGTGTCTGGAGGATCACACCGAAGGCGCTGAACGTGTCATAGAGCAGTTTCTCATCAATCTCCGGGTCAAGATTCCCGATGAAGATGTTGGCGCCAACATCAAGGTTTTTGTTGTGTGCGGAGGCCTTATTGACTCGAATTGGTTTGCCATAGAGCTTTATCATATTCATAATCTTTATGGCGTAGTCAGCATCCTCTTCACTCAGGAACTCCACAAAGCCATAACCTGAGAGGAGTGAAAACAGGTGATCATTATTCATCTTCAGACTAGATTCTTTCAGATTCAAAAAGTACCAGACTCTTGATTTTCATTCTTGATTGTGAGGTTGCAGCCTTGGTAATCACAGTTGAGCATAGTTGATACTACTCACCTTGATGTTGGCCAGTGACCCTGTCTTTTGGCATATGTGTGTTGACAACAGGACCGGCCTGCAGGAAGAGCTCCCATAGTAGCGGCTCTGACACTTTCTCATCCAAGCCACCAACATACACAGTGGCATCTGGGGGGGGAAAACCATGAGAACTGAACGATAGCTTTGATCTGTCACGTTTCTTAAAGAGTACTAAAGTGGAATATTCATTTTAAAAATGTGATTTGGTTGATTTGAAATGCTAACATATCCAGAAATGGACTCTGGAAAGAGGTTCTGCAGCCTCCGAAGCAGAACTTTCAGGTTCTGTAACAGCTTCTTCCCACACGCCATTAGACTTTTGAACACAAAAAAATAATCCCTCCATTCCCCCTGAAACCCCCACACAGGACTACCGCAATATATTTATCTGTATAGTAATTTTATACATCGCTTTTCTGTTTATACCTGCACCTTATTTTTCTATGTGAATACTTGTTGCTGTTATTTATCCTGCACTACAACGAGCCAAATGCAACGAAATGTCGTTCTTATCTGCACTGTAAAGTACAAGTTTGAATGACAATAAAGAAAGTCTAAATGTAAAAAGGAGCATGTTTTTCAGGGTTTTAAAAACCATATTTGTGGAATACTATAATTTATCTTTATGTCTGTTGAAGTTTTCTGTTAATATAATAATAATTAGGTGCAGCAACAGAATCAGCAACTGCAATATTTTGTTATACTGTCCCTACAAAGGCCTGTGTTTAAATGTTTAATTATAAAAGTGGGTAGTTCTCTCTGAATCTAACAACACATACAACAGTCAGCTTATCACCTGATCAACCACATATATGAACATTTACAATGGACCTGATGCTATGCGTTGTACATCTAATGGTGTATAAAAGCCATAAAACGGATCAATGAATGAAGAGTTTGATTGAGTGATGAGTCTTTATGATGCAGTCAGATGCTAAGTACTCTGCGATTAGCTTTTCGCGCTAACTGCAGCTAGCATACAGGGTGTATCTCAGTTTGTGATGAGCTAACAACAGACAGAATTATGTATTAAACAAATACTAATCAACGCAACACAAATATGTTGATCCACAGCAAGCAAGCCTAAGAAATCTAATAACGTTTGATTCAAATCAATGTCTGAATGAGTGGCAAGCTAAGCTAACTCAAACTTCCCACTTCCATGTGACCGAGTGTTTACCTCAAACAAAAAACTAACCAGGCAGCAAGCAGCGCTCCGATAAACTATGAAAGCATTTTGAAGAATAACTCACAAAAAGTTCAAATATAGCCAAACCGAAAGGCTGATAACAGCTAATAAAAGAAGCCTTTACCTTGGTTTCTTTCTGAAATTGGTCCCGCTGCCATGTTGAATGAACAACGAACAGCAAGCGACCAAAACCGAGGTCCCGCCTCTTCCGGTGTGTACCGGAGGCGGAAATTATATAAATAAATAAATAAATAAAATACAATGTTTCAGGGAGGAATCATATACTCTATATATAACACTTTTATTTACAGTAAAAGGAAAGAATAATTAACTTCATGAATGCACGACTAAACCTTGATGGATTACAGCGGAGGGCCTCACTTGCATTTCCTCAATAAGTTTTGCATTACGTTTATGTTGAGTTACCTCCCCATGTGTGGAGGACGAGATCTGACAGAAGTATAAATAAATAAATAAATGTATAAAAAAATACTGGAATAAATAAATAAAAGAATGAATAAATAAATAAATGCATGAATAAATAAATAAAAACTGGTAAATAAATGGGACATAAATAATTAAATGTCTTACATTTATTTCTACATGTATTTATTTCCACATTTATTTATTTCCACATCTATTTATTTCTACATGTATTTATTTCCACATTTATTTATTTCTACATGTATTTATTTCCACATTTATTAATTTATACATTTATTTATTTATACTTCTGTCAGATCTCGTCCTCCATACACATAATGCTTACCTTTGCAAGTGACAGTTGCAAGGGTCGTATAAATATGTGAAAGTTCATTTGTTTGCTTTTATAAAGAGGTCAAAAAAGTGACATGAAAAACGAATTGAAAATTTGTATGAGCCATTTTATTACATCATAAAAATCTACTAAAAGTATAAACACAGGATACAAAATGCTCATATAAAATACATACAATAAGGGCCTGGTAAAAACACTTAAAACAAAAGAAAATACTGTGTAGAAAATGAAACATACAAACTAAACTTAATCAACACATCATGCATAAAAGTCATAAAAGCCCAATACTTTTCTTTTTTTTAATAAAATGCATAGCAAACAAAATAAATTGCTTAAAAAACCATCACTGATAATGATCACAAAGAAAGGTCAAAGGCGTTGTTAGAAGAGAGCTCAGAGATTAATGGCTTATTGTCAAAAATCACACACATAAAAATCACCTAAATGATAAGAAAAATGCTGAAAACAATTCATTATATTGTGACAAGCTCATTCAAAATACTTGTATATTCTCTAGTTATTTTTTGTCATTCAGCCTTGGCATGAGTTCACTTAAAGTACAGTATGTCATTGAACTGGACTTGAGGTTGTTTTGTTGGGCGCTAGATTTGTTGATTTTTTTCTCAAATGAACTTGCAGCTTAGAGGAGTAAGAAAAAAACAAGTGAGAAGGAAAATGTGTCAGTAACAAGGTTGTACTCAAGCTGAAAACTTGTGATCTCAACGTGTTCATTGTCTCAGTCCAAAGATTAATTTGAACTTTTCATTACTTACTAAATGGAGAGGTGCAGGAACTCTGCCACAAAGAAATCAAAACAGAGACATTTTCCTGTTTGTGCTGCAGACAAACTTTGCAAATTGAGTACCAAACAAACAATATATAATGCTTATACATGCAAATCAAAGGTAACAAGATTTAATGAATCTTTCATTATCAAATGACATGTAACATATTCAAGGAGTAGAAATTTGGGGAAATGTACTTTCTGGTGACATATCAGATCAAGATTAATTCTACTTTCAGACTTGTACTGTAAATAATAAGCTTTGCCAAACAAAGAAATAGTCAGACTGTTTCATGGCTGTGAGTTGACTCCAGCAGTAAATCATCCCATATCGTTACCAAGGATGTATATTTTCAACTTTTTACAACATTAAGAAACATCTTTTCATAAGTCAGTTTCAGGTGAGATGATTAACATATTTTATTACATTGGACAAAGCAAGTCTAGCTGTTTCCTGTCTTCATACTAAAAGCTAAGCTAACTTAGCATTATATGTAGTAAAAAGATACAAAAGTGGTATCAATCATCTTATATCACGCTCTGCCAAGAAGCACATTTCCAAAAAAAAGGTCAATATATTCCTTTAAGGTTCTGTAACAGTAATATAGCATGTAATTCATAGTTTTATCTTCAACATAATGAAAAAAGAAATGCTGTAAAATGCTTCTTTTAAGACCTCATTAGGATACAGTTTAGTGTTTTTTAAATGTCTAACTGTTTTTCATAAAGGCACAATGATCTCAAGCAAGATATAGGGTAATAAAACAATAAAACAGGTCCTGGTTTGAATCATACTCCTTCTCTGTTCTTTGTTTTCTATTTGCTGTCTCCTCAGATTTAGTGTAATCACTTCCTGCTGTTGTTGATTATCCATCATTCAGCAGTTAGACTTCTGCCGTTTTACTCACATAACTCTGTGCCCACAACTCCTTCCAAACGGAGCCACATATTACCAATCAAACTCTCACTTCCATCACATGGGGTCTTCCAAAGGCTACCACATGAAATGCCTTCATCCTTATAATGTATTCAATACATTTTAGATAGATATTAAAAAAAATAAAGGTATCACATTTAGACAAAAAAAAAGGTCCTTCAACATTAAGATATTTGAAAGGTGGTACATTGTTTTAGCCCACTAACACTTTTCTTCCATTATTCAAAAAGAAACAACAACACAAGTGCTGGTACTGTTTTGTTTTCAGTACGGTGACTCACACATGATGAATCATCTCAATAAAAGAGCCCTCAACTCCTTTTTTCTATTTTTTTTTTTGCCTTCACATTCCCCCTTCAATCACCGCAGTGTGGCTAGTCCTTGTTTCTGCCAGACGAAGCACATGACAAACACAATCTGTATCACAAGAGTATCTCTATGGTCTAAATGTTAAACACTTTGCAGATCCTTTAGTTGATAGCTCACTGGAAAAAAAAACAATGTACATTCAGCTGGTGTCACGGTCACCAAGTATACAAGAAACGCTAAATATATGTCCAAAGCCTTCACAGAGAAATAGGAAAGAAAAGAAAAGCAATGGTTCACTGTCTGATTTAAAAAAAACAAAAAAAACCTGAGCTGCTGTCAGAGCAATCAGTCACCTGCTGACATTTTGCAAAGTACCCTCAAAATGTAACATGAGCCAAAAAGTCGGATTTTTATGCTTACTAGAAAGCCGGTTATCTGTTCCACATACTAACCTTTACTGTCATTACAACAGGCAGAATAAGGACGTGTATTCATTTGGTTATCTTTGTGGATCTTTACACTGTTGTTGTCTTTGCTGTTTTGTGCTTCTGAAGTATTTTGTTTACACACACACACACACACACACACACACACACACACACACACACACACACACACACACACACACACACACACACACACACACACACACACACACACACACACACACACACACACACACACACACACACACACACACACACACACACACACACACACACACACACACACACACACACACACACCGAGTACTTCTTATTAAGGTTTTAAGACCCATACATTTTTAAACTTTCATTTGCCAGGATCTGAAATGCTATACGCTTGAAAATGGTCTAAATCATGTTGAAATGAACTTCAGAATGATCCAAACTTTTGATCAGATCAGTTTGGTTAAGATCTCTTTCCTGTACATTCACGGATCAAAGGCAGGATTTGTTTCTGCAGGTCTACTTTGAGTAAATGAAGTAAGAAATATTGAAAAAAGTATGAAACCCCCTTAGTCAGCTGGTATGTCAAACATGTTTATGGGCGTTTTTCTTTTCTTTTGTTTTTTTAAGAAAGCGTGGTTATCCTGTAATCACTAGGCACAAAGAGGTAACGGCTAGAGCGGTGATGTAAGTTTGTGTTCCATGGACTGATGTGCACACTGTAAGTGAAGGCCTAATGGTCCTCAAACCCAAACACAAGATACATATCTAAAAGTTCAGACAAGTCACCTTTATGTATAAGTAGTAACTGTTACTGTTACCAGGAATCCGACAGAGTGTGAAAGCTTCTTTCCTCAATAGATGGCGGTGGTTTTTTTTTTTTTAGTGTGAGGGCAGGGTGGCCGTGTTGGCTGCACTGAGCTGACCCACAGCTAACATCAGGATGTCTTTCTTCTCTTTGTAAAATCGCAGTTCTCTGCCCGCCAGCCTGGCGTCCTCCAGTTCTCGCTCTGTGGACGCCACCTCTTGCCCGATAGTTCCCGCTACGCTCTGCTCTCGGTTCACCCAGTCGGCGGCCATCTGAGTGCGCATGTCGTCGTCCAGAGCCCGGTGGGAATAGTGAGCCAGCACCTCCTGAAAATGACACAAGTTGAGTTATAGAAAGGAGGAAAAGATAAGCAGGGTAGTTAGGTTTGGAGCAACAGATACATACACTTTGTTTGCAAGAAGTGGAAACCACTTCTTAACATAAAAATAGGGACAGCTAGCACAAAACCTACCTGTGAATAAAAATCAGTCAGACTATTAACCAGACAACTCAGTGTGTGTTTTAGTGCGTTATGTTCACACAGACTGATCTGACTATGGCAAGGGGCAACAAAATACATAATAATAAAATAAAAAATAAAAGATGAGTAAATGTGGCAACAACATCTCAGTTTTAGCATCTCAGAGCTGTTGCTACATTGTCGTCAGAAAGGTCACCTATGACTTCATTCTTAGTATTTGATCATATTTGATTTAATCTTATTTGACTTTTGAATTAAGGATACACCATAACTGACAGTGATATTGATGTTAGGAGGCCAATGTGGTATCCTCCAGATATGACTGATGTACCGGTACTTTAGTTACAGTGTCTCCATCATTTGACAAGCTAGCCTTCACAACATGTCCTGCTAAATATCCTACAGTTTAACCAATTCTGAGTGTGGTAAACAGGGCTACCTCTAACTCTTAGCTTTATATTCTTAGATACCCTGAGTTTAGGTGTCAGGCATGGTGTCTGGATAGTGAAAGTTTAATTGGTGCTTCCTGCATTTTAAGGTACTTCTATGATCCTTAAAAATGGCATCAGAATAAACCGAGAGTATAGAGTGGAACACAACTGGAGAGCACATGCTTTCAAATGTATGATCTAATCCGTCTGCACCAGTCGTATCTTGTGGGGAAAGATCTGACATTTCAAGCTTGATCCAAAGGCTTCTGGAACCTGACACTTAGGAAGATTAAAAAAAACTAAAAAAAAACTAAACACTACCGATGATTGTGTTCATCTGCTCGAGAAGTTAAAGTCTTTGAGTACCTGTCGGGAACACTGTCGTTCTCTCATGGCTTTAAGACTCCCGTTCCAGTGCAGCAGCTGGAACACAGTCATCAGCTCCTGAAAACATAAACACAGCCAAGCCAGAAGAAAAAAAAAAGAGAGGTTAACTAAATATGTAGCAATTCAAAAACGCAAAGCATGCATGCTTCCTTCACATCTCCTTTCTTTCACTTTGACTTTAGGTGAAGATACTGCAGCTCAGTAGAAGATAAACATGTAGAAACATCTTGATTGGTTTATTTATACAATCTTAGCTCAACACCAGCACTTTGCAAATTCTATTTTCCACAGTGCGTCAAAATGCTACTTAGTACTACACAGACATTCCTGAGGTCAATGCACCTGAAACTCCAGCATGGATTTTCCTTTGTTGGACTCGAGCATGAAGCGAAAGGCTCCAATTCCTGTGTTGGGATTGTCAGCCTCTTCTCTGTTGCCCTGCAAACAAGAGCAGAGTCCAGTAAATCCCAATGTGATGTATCGGCCCCGGACAACAGCTGAATAGATAACAGTTTTGGGGGGGGTTACTCTAACACATGATGTGATAGGATGGATGTCTTCTTGGAGAAAGTTGTTTACAATAAAGTTTGTAAATGCCTTGAAAACATTTTCCACACTTCAAATATTTATTGTAAATCGTGCTAAATGCATTGAACAAAAAAACTTTCTTATGTGTCCTTTCTCCCTTTTTTTTTTTTTACCACAGTTGTCTTCCTACTGTTGAGAAAAAAGCTCAACACATCACACTTAACATACATTGAAGGTGGCCAGCGCCTCACTGACGCTCTTCTCGATGAAGTCATCTGTGATGCGGCGGGAAGGATGTTCATTAAAAACAGAGTTCATCAGGGCAATCTTGGCAGCGCTGCGTCTCGCCTCTGCTTTGGTGGGACAGAACTGTCAAAACATTGAAGAAGAAAATGCATTAGCACTCCCGACACACACACACACACACACACACACACACACACACACACACACACACACACACACACACACACACACACACACACACACACACACACACACACACACACACACACACACACACACACACACACACACACACACACACACACACACACACACACACACACACACACACACACACACACACACACACACACACACACAGGAAAAAACTGTCCGAGAGCCAAACATAGCTGGTGTTTATGTGGAGTGCACTCAGCAAGAGACCGTCATTTGCTGGCCTGTGGTTCTGGGGAGTTTGAATCAATATTTGGTGTGCAGTGTTTGCAGACTCTCTCACATTCTCTTACAACGATAACATGACTGTACCTGGAAACTTCCGAAGCAGCTTCCTCCAGGAAGACTCACATAGCAAACGTAAGGAGGGCTGTTGGATGGGACCATTTCATAAACGACTAGAGCTCCGTTCCTCAGGTCGGCCCCTCTGGTCAGCTTCATCTGCCAAAACTCCTGTAAGGCCTCCACCACGTTTACTAAAGTGCACAGAGATCAAAGAAGACTGGTCACATATAATGCTCATCATCAACACTTTGTTTAATAAGTTAGAATAGAATAGAATGACTTTACTGATCCCAAACTGGGAAATTGTGGTGTTACAGCAGCATGTTATCAGAGCAAATAAAACAATATAAGAATAGATACATAAATAAGCACTTAAAATATAACAACAAAAAAATAAAAAATAAGAATAGTAAGAGATTTATACATCAAGGATTTAACTTAATATTCCTACTGGTTTAAAAAAAAATGAAAAATGAAATACAACATTTATTCAGGCTAATATGGCTAGCGTATCCACATGAAGATATTCTGCTTTTTAAAAAAGCACAATGCTTTCTGCACATAGTTAATGACTGTGTGACATCCTCTCCAGGGTGGGAAGGTCATTTCAAGGATACCAGAAGTTTTTTCCTGCTGTTATTTGAAATAAGAGGAAATTCTGCATCATCTCAATAGAGCTGCTGAAAAACCACACAACCCCTTAATGTGTCCACGGGAGAAAGTTTCAGTCCTGCCTTCAGCCAGAGGGAACAACAAGCAACAAAAACGGGGCAGGAAAATTAGAAACGATTATTTGGCTTGGAGAGAAAAAGAGCGCAGCTGCAGCCAACTTTATCCAAAAAGCTCTTTGACTTCTGTTGCCTCTCGGCTCCTTCCCCGCTGAGCTCTCGCCGTTTGATACGAGCACAGGCAGCGAGCAGGCAGCCTGCCTCTTTTCTCTGAGTCTGGAGTGAGATCAGAACACTTAAAGGCTGCAGCTCTGGGACTAGCGAGGGCTTCTGTAAACAAGGCGAGATATATCCTGGCATCTGATATTTGAATCCCTTAACAGCGAACCTGTTTTTATTGCTCTTAATGTGTGCAAAGCTGTAAATGAATCTCTTGTTGTTTGTAACGACACTAAAACAGCAGTTATGGCTCTGTAAACTTTTACACAAGTTGATCTCTGAAAACATCACAGAGCAAATTTCTTACAAATATTAAATCTTAACCATTCGATCCACAGTATATGTATTACATTTTAGTGGATTGTTTAGATGTTTTTCTAAATATGAAGCCACAAAGAGAGAAAACAACAAAGTTATTTTTGAGCATCTACAGGGTCCAGGAGAGAGATGACATCCTACATTTTTGTCTGTTTTTTTATGATTCATTTTTGAAGGATTTCCTGAGAGATATAGCAGGAAGAGACAGGAAATATTAGGAGATAGTGGAGGATGGACTATCACAATGGCGCTGGCCCAGACTCAAACCCACAATTCAGCAGTTATTCCATATCTGACTAAAATAGCACAGAGGATTTAAAAATAGATCAAACATGAAGAGAAGTGAACACTAGCAGAATAACTTCAGTGTGTCTTCACAATGTTTGAGTTGGGAATAAGCATTTCATTTCCCTGGTAATGGCCCTGATTATTATAACTGGGGGCCATGTATAAAAACTTAAAGTACACTTGTCTACAATGGACTGGGGAAATAGTGACAAATACAAAATGTGATAATTTGTCTGTGATATCTAATTCTTCCCACGGGTAAATGACCGTACTGGAGCAACATTAGGACCAAAATAATGCCCTGATGAACGCCTTTGTGTAGCTGCCAATGTGGAGGGTGTTAAGTCGCCGAAATGAGATAGAGGAGGGAAGAGGCTGCTAGTCAGAGCATGAGGGGACAATCTTTTGGAAATAAATCCTCTTAGCACCAAACAGGAACACTTCGTATTAGCTGACTACAGCTGGCATTACAGCAGACATGTGGTGTAATGTAAGTTTTTAACATAGCTCTCTCTGTGTGCTGCAGTTACAAGTAAAAAGACAAAAGATTATTCAACTTTTGACATTTCATCACCACGAGGCATTCTATAAAAAAATCAAATTTTTAAACAACCTTTTTCAGGCTATTATGTTTTTGTTTTTTTTAAAGACACACCACCTAACATTCATATGGTATTACTTGTAAGTCTGGGTAGTAAACAACATGTGCAGGCTCATTTCTATAAAAGTTGGTTTGACATTGATGTTTTGATCAATACTAGATATTTAAACCACTACATCATTACATTTGACATCATCTGAATCACCTTGGCTTACCTTTCCTTTGTAATGTATTTTTAAGTTCATTGTTGGTCCAGTATTGTGTTGGTGTGCATTGTAAAGTTTGACACTTAAACGTGACAGATGATAAAAGCCTATTGTTCTTTAATGTAATCCCCCAGAGCTGTGGGACTTAATCCTATAGTGAAGTGAATGTAGTCAAAGTTACTATAGCTATGTGCATACAGAGACAGTGTGTTAACATTCAATCTGTTGTACATGTTCTAAAACAGTATAAAGTGAAAACCTGTGACACTGTCAGACATGAATAGCCCTCAACAGGAATGCAGTTCGTGTTTTTTCCGTTGTTAATAAAAGGTCCAAACAAATGGCGCAGCTAAAAGTGGAAAAGTGGAAACTCAACAGAACTCAGCAACATGACACAGAGGAATATGTTAACTTGACATTTATCACCATTAGACATTACCTCTGCCATAACCTTGTGTGTGTTTGGCGAAGCTGCGGACCACAGCCTCCACCGCCTCCTTCAGCACCGCCGGGTTCCCCGGGTTACAGTGGCCGGCAGCCCCCGGCCCCAGCCCGGCTCCCAATCCGCCGTACAGGCTGTGGAGCTGTAACGGAGGCGGCGGAGGAGGAGGCCCGGACGAGGCGGCCAGCAGCACCGGGGAGGGAAGGAGCGGTGCGATGGGGACGGTTACCCCAGGCCGGAGAGATGAGCGGAGGGTCCCGGTCGGTCCTGAACCGAATCCAATCCCCGGCTGTAGCCTCTGAGGGCGGATACTGTTCACGTTGGATTCCATTGTCCCAACGTAACGTCTGCAAAGTCCCGGTCCGGATGAGATTCAAATCCGGCTGCTTAAGGTTAAAAAATGGTCTCCTGGGACTAAATGAACAAAGTATTAGCGGGCTTTTGTCAATCACAGCCGAAAGAAGTGGTTATCCGTGTTGATTCGACACATATCACTGCTGCTATGCATCCTCACTCTCTGGATTAGGCTGCGAGATTGTCAGTCAAATGATGCCTTCAAGGACACCTCGTATTATAGGAATATGTTCTGAGGACCAAAGCAAAATAGCCTACTTTTCATTTTATTATTATCGTACATTGACTGCTTAAAACACAATAGATTGTGTTTTTTCTCCTTTTGTGTGCTTTGTTATAAGGATGTAACATGTTTCCATATCGTGAAATGGTAACTCCACTAGACTACCTATTGTTTTTACAAAAGGAAAAGCTGTGATTCCACCACCAGCATCCTTTCCTAGGGACTAAGAACCTTTGGAAGAACTCAGTGTTTTTCCTCTGCAAGAAAATTTGTGTAACAAAAGTTCTAGGGGCTTTATACCTAAAAGTTCCTGTTCATCTTGTGTATAATCAGATGTAAAATGTAGGTCTACACAAGTCATTTCAATGTGTTAAGCCCTCTTGTTTAAATGTGATAGAATGTCAGCTAAGACTGTGTGACTGAATCGTTTGCGAAATGCGGAAGAGAAAAAAAAAAGCATTTCTTCAAGCGTCTGCTTGAGGCTGGTTCCATGAGCCCCAGAATTCACGTAGACACACCACATTCAAAGCATGGTTCAAAAAACTAAATATAGGCCTGATTATTTATTGTTTATCCTAATGGGCACACACTGTACTGGGGGAATTTTTTAATAACTTATCCATTTTGTTTTAATGAATAATACGAGTTATACATAGTTAGGCCCGAGGCTGACCTGATTGAGAGGAGGCTTAAATCCCACCTCAGCTCCAGACCTGTAGTTAGGTTTTCTGAAGACAGGATTTCCAGCTTTGTCCAGTAATGCCCAGTTTACAGTTTATGTTTGCAATGCAAGACCAAAACTAAAGATTCATTTGCTCACATTCAACGACCCGATTGTAGGGGGAAACAACCGGAGAGCTCACACTGTACGAATCAAATCGCGATAGAGCATTTGCAATTGTTAGTAGTTAACTCCTAAAGAAATAGGTTGAAGTCAGATATGTGTATTTCAGTTGTCTCATATGCACACCTCAAATACACAAGCCAGCATAAGCGCTCTCACACACACACATAATCTGCATCACAAATAAACACATCTAAAGTTGATTTCAGAGGGGGAACACTAATTAAACAGGCATGCCTGCTGTTTCCATGGTGATTTTAGATGCTGCCCATCACTTTTGTGCAGACACAATCAGAAAAAGTCCCGAAATCGGAGAATAGACCCGTGGCTCTGCTCTCACTGTGTAAGTGTGTGCAGTCGGATGACCAAAAAAATCAAACATGCCAGAAAATCATTGGACCAGTCGAGAGCAGCTGATCAGGCTGTGATCGGCCACTGTGCCTCAGTGTGCAGGACTGAAGATGTTCATTGGGGCTGAAATTCGGCCCAACTTAAAAAATAGTCGTACGATTTAGAAATAGATCAGGCTGAAATCATATAGTGAACACCCGGCTTTACAGTTTACATATTCAAGGTTAACAAATATTTCATTGAAAAGAATGACATTGCAAATTAAAAGAAAGGTTCTGAAAGCTGAGGTTATAACACATTTCCTGAAACATCAGTTTTGTTGATTTGATAAAAAGATAGCTCCACTTTTATTGCATTGTAGTTTTCATACATGCTCTCTTGTTGTTTTTCCAACATTTTCTCCAGCACCTGAAGGCAGCAAGGGAAAGTCAGAGAAATATCAAGACACGAAATCTGAGCCTCCTCTGTTCTCTCTACTGGCACCAACAGAGCACAGCCACAGTGAGGCTTTACAGTTCCAGCTCTGCAGCCTGAAGCATGTGATTAAAACTTGGAAGCAGAGTCACTCGTTTTTTACTTGATAAGAGGTCTCAACAAAAAGTTACCTCTTTTTGACACTGAGAGAAATCATCCATAGGAAAAGAGGGTTTAACTTTGAGTAGCTGGACCACCAGCTCTGTACAGAACAAAGACCCTTAGAGGAAATGAGACCTCCTCCTGAGCTTCCTAAATGTTTTTTATGACTCTATGGAACTTGTGTAATTTTTCATTCTGGCTGTGGTCTGCTGTGAAACCAAAAGAGCTTAAAACAGGGACAATGGAGCATTTCAATTGATCTTTTTTCTTAACTCTTTTATTTTAATTTTAGTTAATCAGTGAAAATCTCCCTACAAAAATGACTAAGTCAAACAGACACAATGTAGCCTGTAAGCTTTGTTCACTGAGGAGGAAACACACAACAGGATAGCCATATATCACAATTGTAATGAGTGTTTGGCTCACTGGAGGGCGTGCTCTCATTTCAATACATCAGTTTGCTATGCAACTCAGTTATATTTTTGCTTCGTTTGCATAAACTGCTCAGCAGGGTCGACGTTTATCAGAGCAAAGATACAACATATATAACTTCAATGCAGGGAAGTTTGAAGTAAATCAAAGACAAGTCGCTAGAAAGAAAACTGAATGTACTTAATCCTTTCTTGATCTTTAGTCATAGTTCTTCCGTATAGTTCTTGATCAAATTACAATTACCATGAGGAGCAGCGATCTTAAACATGTTGTTTCACCACATTGAGCTGAGCCAGCGGTGTTAACTTCATGAGTTAACTTTAGTGTTCTCTTCTTGAGTGTCTTTCATTTGATCCTTTTTTTATCATTCTTATTTCCCTCATTTACTTTTGGGTTTAATGACAGTTGAATATTTCAAATTAAAGTACAAACATAGCAAATATAAACTTTAAATCACATTGACTTGCTTGTTAGGTTTCTGGTATCTGTGTAGCAACTTCTCAACCCATTTCATTTTGATATTTCACCAAAAATGTGTCATCCCTACATGCCAAAGCAAAGATTGTTCCATGTCTGAAACTATTTTTATCTTCACTAAGAGAGAAAAGGTTTAAAAGATATGTTGAAACAAAAAGCTGTTTCCACTAGTGGAGTCCAGGCCGATGGTGAACAGACTGTGGACTGAGAGAATAACCTCTGGTAGAACACATTCCCACATCTGGTTTTGATTTAAGCTTTATGTCAAACTCTGACTTTTAAAACTCCAATGCAGGGGCTTTCCCAATAGATGAACAGAGACTTGTTGTACTGTAGTACAAGTTTTATGAATCAGGTCATGTTTTTAATGCTCACTGCTTACATACTTGAGTTTCCCCCCCCCTATCCTGGATTGCTAATGGGGTGAAGTTGAGTTGAGAAATAATGACTTTACAACAACCATAAAGATAAACGGAAGGCCAATACGTGTTGGATGTTAACCAAAGGTAGAAGGTGTACATCCACATGAACAAGTGTCAGACTCTTCTCAATACTTTCATCACATTTATGTTTCTCTTTAATATATGTTCAAAATGCTTGTTTGTTTATTCTTTAAATAGTCAGCTGTTTTGGCAGATACAAACCTTCACAATTTAAGTTCAAGTGAAAGAAAGATGAGGGCAAGGAGTCCACAGCCTCGCTATAGCAACTGGTGTGAGGGAGTAAATATGCACAACAGTGCCAAATTCCAACTCAAACATTAGCATGCTAACTTGCCCTGAATGTTAACACTAATGGAGTTAGCATTCTAAATGCTGCTAATTAACATGAAAGAATACAGCTCAGTTTTGAATAGTTTTCAGGTATTTAGCCGATGTAGAAAAGGTTAGCGGAACATAAGTGTTGAGTTGATGATGATGCTAAATTCATAGTCACAGGATCAACAAAAAGATTTGAATGTATCCTGATGAAGACATGAACATGAGTCACAAACACTTTCCTGATCCATCTTTGGTCTACTTTGTTAATACAGTTGATCTTCATACTACAAAGTGTTGCTCAAGCATTTTGGCCTCTGATCCATCTGTGAGACATTTCAAACACATTCTTTAAATCTCTTTTAAAAGTAGATTGAAGGTGTTGGAGGAAGGTGCTTCAGGTTGTGGATGTTTGGATAATGACTTTCTGGTGATCTGTGTTTGTAATTACTCAGTGTTTTATTTCTGTAACTTTTTTATTCTGCTGCTGCCCCTCTTGGCCAGGACATTCTTGTAAATTATATTCTTAATCTCAATCAGGTTTCTTCCTGGTTACATAAATTTAAAAAAAGAAAAAAATTGTCAAAGCTTTTATAACAGTTGTAATATTTCAGTCTGAAACCAAAGATGGAAGAACAGAGACACAGAATCGTTGTTATGCTGACAGATGTGTTTCCTGCAACCACACAGCCATAGTTTCTGTCCTCTAAGTTGACCTTCATACAAACACAAACCATTTATAATTAAAGTAGCAGAAGATCAAGTGATTCAATAAATCAAACAGAGCTCACCAGTGCTGGGAATAAAAATCATTTTTTAGACCGTATCTGAGCTAAATGCTAACATTTTAAGGCTGATAGCATCAGCATGTTTAAGTTACACACATTACATCAATGATTCAATCAGAGCTCTATAGGTAACACATAGATACAATTGTTTCTTTATGATTCACTTTATTTTATTTGTGCTTTATTTGACAAGTTACTAAGTGCTTTTCAATCACAGTGTAATAAAATCAGAGAAACACAAGAAAACAACAAGCCAGTTATCATATCTGTTGAAGCTGATTAAGCGTTCACACACAACCTCACTGTCATCACAGTGATGATGTTGTTACCAATGATTAAGTGTTTTATTTAATCAATAAGATAAGATGCACACTGATGTTGGACAGTCAGCAGTAGGATTGCTGGACTTTGGTTGCGTGTGCCCAGGTGGAACAGAGAGCAGCAAGGGTCAGGCTGGTGAGTCACCCACTGGCAAAAAAGAACATCCAATAATGTTTTCTTTATCTTGTCCAATCAGGTTCACATTTCAGGAGGGGGTGCATCACCGCAGAGGACTATAAGAGGAGCAACAGTCCTTCAGAAAGGCACCATCCGGTCCAAATTCTCCTGCCGTTCAGGTAAGTGTGACTCTGTTCATCCTATTTTCTCGTGGGCTAAAAAAAACATTGAACGCACTCAGAGAAATCCAAAACTTCTTACTGAATGTAAGACGTTCAACTCTTACCAGAGTTTAGATTTTTAGAACCTTCAAGGTGTCGATGTTTTAAATCAAATCAACATTTTAGTTTTCAATGTTATACTCTCTCATGAAGTTAGAATACAATTTTTTGGGTTAAAGTGATGAAACACTGCCTTTTGCTATTTAAAAGTTGATATTTGAACTTCACTTCATGTGGAGTTTATTGGAGTTTCATTCTGTCTTAATTAAAGTAAAGAATTGTGCCGATAGTTATCACTTAAGCGTTAACTTATTTTAAAACATAATGGTGATAAGTAGTGTTGTCTAAGCTTTCACATAACCAAAAGGAAATAAGTTAAACAAGTTTGAGGTGAATATGAGGTTACAACAAACACACAGCTACTAAGAAATAAAAAGCTGTCAGGGATTCCTAGAAGACCTTTGATCAGTGAGTCATTCATCTGATTGAGAAACAGGGTACTGATAAAAAACCTTACATAAACATCTATATAATGCAAAGTGTGGTGCAGAACATTAATCAATAATGAATCCATTTTCTATTTTGTAGGTCCTGTCCACTCAGCAGCCATGAAATTCCTCATTGCAGTCGTCGCCCTGATTGCCCTGGCACAGGGTATGAACACCACACATGTACTTTAAAATAAGAGAGTGGAAGTGTTTTTTGTTTTTTTTTCCATGTTGAAAATGTAATCTTCTGCTGCTTTTGTAAACCCATAGGAAGCTTTGCTCAAGATGCCTCTGATCTTGAGAGGCTCAGCCAGTACTTCGAGGAGATGAAAACCAAACTCACCACTGACCTGACTGAGATGATCAACAACCAGGACCTGGCAAACCAGGCTCAGTGAGTACAGAGACCATCATCCCCCTCAATGCCTAAACTCAAGGCTTTCAGTCATGACTCATGCTGATGAATAGTTTGTTCTTATTTGAATAAAGAGCTGTAACTTGGACTTCTTATACTAAAGCAATATGATTCATTTTGTAACCTAAGCCAAATGTTAAAACAGTAACTTATACAATTACCATTTAGTAATAATAACCTATCACACAGAAGCTTAAGATTTACTGGGGGCCAATATTTTTCTAAGTTCTTCTAGTTTAATACTTAATTCTGTTGCTCATAATTTAATCACCAAGGTAAAATGTGAAATGCAGGACTTTTATATGTAAATGACTAGAATTAAGAATTGCATGTGAAATAAACTGGAAAAGACCACTCGTTTTTTAGTTTTGCAGACAGAGGCTGCACTTTGATAACAACAAGGTCAAAGGATCTCATGTCCACGTTTTATCTTGCCCTACCCCACAGGACCTTCCTTGCTGACAAGAAGACCCAGCTGGAGCCTCTGGCTACTCAGATCCAGGAGCAAATTAAGACCTACGCCACCAACGTCGAGGAGCAGATCAAGCCCCTGGCCACCAACGTGCAGACTCAGGTCCAGCCCATGATCGACAACTTCCAGGCTCAGCTGGAGGCCATCTTCAAGAAGGTCATGGAACAGACCCAGCCCATTGCTAACTAAAGCCTGACGTCCTCACAAAGAGATGCAGAAGTGCCCCAACTCCACCATCTTCTCAGGGCTACTTGCATTTGATGGCTGGCCTCAAAGTGCAGGCAGAAGATCTACAGCCTAAGATGTGTTTCAGTAATTGTTAGCATTGGATTTGGCACTGCTTGTCCACAAGCTCAATAAAAATTTGAAACACAGCTTCAGAGTCGGTTCCATTTCATGCTTTTGTGTGTGCGTGTGTGTAAAATCAGTAGTAATCTTTGATCACTTCATGATTGGAATTGTAAAATATTTTCATTTAGTCATGAGAAACAAATGGAGGCCACACCCATATATAGAGATTTCAACACCAATAGGCTGATAGGCATAATCAAGGTGTGTGTTCAAACATTCAAAATATCCGAAGGTGAGCTATCTCTAACAATCATCTTTCAAAGAGAACACCAGGAAAGGAGCTCTATCTGGACACAGGTTCTTTGTAATCCAGTGGCAGGACATTTCAGAGAAGCTAATCACCCTGTTCCTTCCCTGAGACACATTCAAACCTCCCAGATGAGGAGGTGATGTAAATACCATCTTACTTCAGAGTGTTTACACATTTTTACTCTTCAGACTTTAATGCCTAAAGGCCTTGATCAAGAATATGAAATTAAACATTTCCTCTTCACAATTTTCATTAAGAACGGTTTTAATATTAAAACATTTGGAAAGTATTTTGGATGCTGATGATCGAGGCAACTGACGAGACATGAAGCTGCCTTGTTTGAAATGTTATATTTGAAAGATGATTTTTATAGATGTATTTTACCTTGAGACATCTTGAATGTTTGACCACACTTCCCATCTGGTGTTGAAATACATATACACACACACACACACACACATATATATATATATATATATTCATATTCGAGTGTGGCCGAGCATCAAAACAAACAAATTTCACACACACAAAAAATAATTTTAAAATTTTTATTCAAGCAAGCAAGGTCAAGGGAAATTCCACAACAGGCCTCTACAGCCCAAACATTCAAACATTTAAAAGGGATAAAATGGAAGAAAGAAAGGAATGCTGTCAGTCTTATTTTTCACAGAATTCTCCTTTAAAACCCTTCATATATTGATCATTTTCTATTGGAACTTTTCTATTTTTTTGTGTATTTTCTTTTTAACTCAACAAATCAGGCCTGTTCATTTCAGGCCTGACTGGAGACTTGTTTCCATTCGGTTTTTATTATATTATTTAACTTCTTTTTACTTTGTTTTAGGCGTTTTTCACTTTTTCTCATTTAAATTCTTTTGTCCATCGGTGAATCTAGTCTCTCAACGTTCACCACTCCTGTGAATAAAATAAATAAATAAAAAGACGATCAGTGATATGACTTCTTGTCATCTATATTGAAACATTATTTGGAATACATTTTTATTCAACTTGTATTCCCCTTCAACCAAAACAAGAACCAGCTGCTTATAAAGCAGCTCCAAAAGACTATTTGTACCTTGGATTCAGACACTTGGGACACCAGTTGAATTTGTCACAGTCTTCTGGGCAGCCTCTTTGGCCTGGTGTGCCTGAAGGACAGCCACAGCCTCATCCACCTAAAGAAAAGTGTTTAATGCAAGAAACCCCACATCATCATGGTTGAATCATCTAAAAGTGTCCTCTAGATCCACCTAGTTTGTTTCCTACAAATCAGACTGTTGATGGCAGAGGCATAATTCCAAAGACTTATAATAAGAGGAGCACTAGGGCTGAGTGGTGTATACATTTTATCAATAAATCAGGTTAGTAGACAATCAAGATTTTCTCTCCAACTTACTTACCAAAAATTTCCCTTGATCTCTTCAAAGAAAAAGCAAAAAGGGAAGTGTTCACCATTAATGAAATAAAGCACTAACCTTTGAACGGAGAGACTCTGGGGACTCCAGCATGTGAAGCAGCTCTGAGTTGTCAATCTCCAGGAGCATGCCAGTGATCTTCCCTGCCAGGCTGGGGTGCATATTCTGGATCATTGGGAACAAACGCTCACCTACAGGAGACACATACACAGAAAATAAATACAATCCCAAAGAGCAAATAACTGTGACAATACCATACAAATAATAATAATAATAATAAATAATAATAACACATTTTATTTATAAGCGCTTTTAAAAACTCAAAGACACTTTACAATAGTTAAAACATAAAGAACAGCACAGTAAGGACAGACTAACAGACATCAAATAATAATCCTATTAAACGGTATGGTAAGGTTTTGCTTACTTAACAAAAGGTACAGTGAGATGAAAAGGATGAATGTTGAGATCTGTTGCTGACACTTACCCAGCATCTGCTTCTGTTCCTGTGGTGGAGCAGCAGCAAGCATGGAGGCAGTCAGAGGCTCCTGTCCCTGCACATGGACAGCAGGCTGAACAAAAAAGAGAAAGGAAATTAAAAGTGAGACCACATTCTTCTCATAAGGATGGCACAAAAAGGTCTAGGCGAGCAGACAAACAATGATTCCTACCTGCTGCATGTTGACTTGTGGCTGAGAAGTCATGTGCTGGGTTGGGTTGCGGACACCTGCAGCGTACTTGTACTGAGGGACTCCACGCACAGGGGCGGCTGCTGCAGCAGCTGCAGTAGCTGGTCGGGGACCCATCGTCTGAGCTGCTGAAAAAGAAGCCATAAGAGGGACAGAAACATAAAACAAAGACACAAGCAGCAGCTTTAGAGGTGAACTGTATTACTCTTCAGTTTTACAGACTAATAGACAACAGAATGAAGGTGACTGACCGACACGTTGAGTGGACATCATGCGGGGCACCTGAGAGGTAGGTCTCATGGCCCCATAGGTCTGTGGGCGGGGTCCTGAGGGACGCATGGTCCCTGGCATGTTCTGGAAGTCTGCACAAAAACACAGTGTCTTCATAAACAAGCAAAAAATACTGCTTTGGTTGACCTTGTTTTAATGTGTCTCTAAAAACAGTACATGCACACATCGATGGAGTAAAATGTTTGAGATACTCACGTTGAGGCCGGACACCTTGGGTGGCCCAGCGTGGGCTTGGGCGGATCTGGGCCATCTGCCCAGCAGCTGGATAGTAAGCAGCACGGTTCTGGGCCTGAGGTATGGCTGCCATGAAGTATCCAGAGGGTGGGGCTGGTTGGTAGGGGTTGATGACTGGGTTTGGCACTGCACGCACACTGGCCATGCGCTGCATGTACTGGTTGGTGAGGTGGGCTTGTCGCTCCTCTTTGCGCTGGGCCAGGGCAACATACAACGGCTTGGTGGCTACAATGCGCCCGTTCATTTCTGTCACCGCTTTGGTGGCTTCCTCTGGGGACGAGAAGCAGACAAAGCCGAATCCTTTGCTGCGCCCACCCTCCATCATGACCTGGGAGCAAGATGTCAAACTAATTAATAAAACTGGACTCAAAATAGTATAAGCACCAGTAATTGAAAATGGTATCAGAGAAATCTAATATTACCTTGGCACTGGTAATGGTGCCGAATGGCGTGAACTCCTTTCTAAGACGTTCATCATCAATTCCATCGTCAAGGTTCTTCACATACAAGTTGACACCCTGAAAAAAAAAATGTAGAGTTGATTTATGTGTGTCACTATTTTCTAGGCAGGGACAATCCAACCAACATACTGTCAAGAACATCCTTTTATTCTCATTGTGTTGGTTGTGTGTTTTGTTTGTAGTACATATTTATCCCCTCAATCCACAGTGAGGTAAAGTGGGGCCCATGAACTACAGACACTGTGGCAGCTGTTTTGGCCAGTGCGACCTACCAATGACGGGGCACTGAATTTGACAAAGCTGCAGTTTTTCCAATATGCGTGTCTAGACAATAAGACAAAGGCTAAGAGACTGTGGCATATTCTTTGAATTTGCAGTACAAGAAGAAAAAGGACCTGGTAGCGAGTCATGCGGTCTTGTTTCATTTGCTCAAACTTGCGCTTAAGTTCCGTCTGGCGCTCCACCTTCTTCTGGGCTCGGCCAACGTAGATCAGCTTGCCGTTCATCTCCTTCCCGTTCATCTCGTCCACTGCCTGTCGCAAAAAGAGAAAACTATGTCAACAACAGAAAGGATTCATCTTTAGAAAAGTCCCATGAAAATTGTTGGTTGAACTCTCACCTTCTGGGCATCCTCGTGCCTCTCAAAGCTGACAAACCCAAAGCCTCTAGATTTTCCATTGTCATCTGTCATTACACGAATACTCATGGCGTGTCCTAAGAAGCAGAGAAATTACCTTTAGTGATGATATTCTGTCCCATATTTAACTGTAGAAGATAAAAAAACAACACTGTACAAGTATTCAGAGAGGCAGACCAGGTACTGACTGACCATATTTATTGAAGATTTCCCTCAGCTTTTCATCATCCATGTCCTCTCCAAAGTTTTTAACATAGACATTTGTGAACTCCTTGGCTCGGGCACCCAGCTCAGCCTCGCGCTCTTTGCGAGATTTGAAGCGGCCAACAAATCTATGTTGAAATTGACATTCAATAGTTTTTTATTAGACACTGGCAGGGCCGTCTCCTTTAGCCAGCAACGTTTGAAAATGCTCGAGCATTACTGAAAAACTACAATCAGACCAAGTGCGAAATTAATCATTTCCCACCATTTCACACATTAGTATCCAAATCAAAATAACTTCAAACTAGTCAAAACATTCACTTACACTTTCCTGTCATTGAGAAGCATGCCATTCATTTTCTCAATGGCTCGTTCGGCGGCCTCCTGAGTCTCAAAATGCACAAAGCCGTAGCCTTTAGAGCCATTTTCATCACAGACCACCTTCGAGAGGGAAAACACATGCTCATGTAAGGCCAGCCACACACACACACACATACACACCTGCAGTAAGAGTTTATTTAATGTCTGTTAAGAGCACTTTTGAATTTCATGTCCTCTTCTTAAATTACTTTCTATTGTGACTCGTCTTGCTTTAGGAAATAAGCAAAGTTCAGAAATTATTTCTACTGCGTGAATGTTAAAACACTGCACCCCTCTTATGTCTTTTAATTATTGTCATTATTATAGTCATTAATTATTTGGTTGTTAGTTACACAACACACTCGGGCAAATTATACCTCTCACAATGCTATGTGACTCCAACAACAGCTGGCTAACCCTCAGCTGGAAGCAAAGTGAGCTACTACTAGTCTTTTACCTTACAGGACAGGATGTTTCCAAAAGCAGAGAAGGTGTCATACAGAGCCTTGTTGTCAATGGACTTGTCAAGATTCTTGATAAAGATGTTTCCCACTCCACTTTTCCTCAGTGATGGATCACGCTGCGACCACATGATGCGCACAGGCCGCCCCTTGATCACATCGAAGTTCATGGTGTCCAGTGCTCGCTCGGCTGTAGGGAGAAACAGCACACGAAAGAGGAGCTGAATTATAAAGGGAATTAGATTTTCAAATTATGTAGCACTTGTTAAGGGCGAGGCTGTTAAACTGGGGGGGTGTCATACTTTCCACTGAATATGATACTAAGTCATATTCAGAGGAAAAGATGGTCCATACTCCATGTTGTCATGCTGGTAGACATAGTCAGAGATCAGTAAGTCATCAAAATCTGCAGAACATACTTTTTTCCAATGATTTTGTTTGTAGTACATATTTATCCCCAGCATCCATGGTAAAGACATATGGGGCCCATGAACTACAGAGTCATTGTTGCAGCCATTTTGGCCAGTGCAACCTATTTAAGAGGGAGCACTGAATTTGACAAAGCTGCTATCTGGTTGTTATCGGGGTTGTCTTCAAAAGCAGGAAAGATTACATTTCTAACCCAACATTTGAGAAATTTACATAGACTTGTTTATAAATCAATAAAAACGGTTCAGCAAACATTCTGATAAGATTTAATTCGACTGTTACGTCTGGCATCTCTGGGTACTCTGGGTGTTGTCCTGACAGAACAAGATAAAAAAAACACACATTCATGAGAGCAACCCATCCGGGCACTTTGCCCAAACGATGCCGACCCAGCCCCTTTCTGGGTGTAGATGGCAGCTAGCTAGCGGACCACTGTTAGATTACAGTACTGGGGGGGGGGGGGGGCTGGGTGTGCAGACGTGGTGGTTCCTGCTACGCCACTGCAGGGTGGTTCAACTGAGGAGACCCTACCACTAATATGTCGGCCGCAGTCACATGGTAGAGTGCTGTCACTTGTCCAGAACTGTCATTTAAAACCACACATGACTTTATAAGTCACATTACTCTGTTTATTGATGAATAAACACATACCGTCCGCTGGTTGTTGAAAGTTGACATAGGCGTATCCAAGAGAGCGCCGGGTGATCATGTCCCTGCACACTCGTATCGACAGGATGGCTCCGGCTGGGCTGAATTTCTCGTAAAGCATGGCCTCAGTCACATCTTGATGCAGATCCCCGACGTAAAGGGAGGCCATGGGGTAACTGGGAGCACTGGGGTTCATTCTCGTTGGCTGTGGTGACTCGTAAATACTCGGACAAAGCTTCAATTTGAAACGGGGAAAAAGTTTGCGGCGACAGAATGTGTGCTGCCGTTAACGTTTGTAACGTCGCTTCAGAATGCTGATGGATCCCGTAGCAACCGTCACCAAGTGAAACCCCTAAAATTAATGTTTTCAACTGACACGTTTCAAATGGGGTTAAAACAGATGTTAAAATCAGATGCAGATGTTAAAATAAAAACTGTTCGTCGCTTCGGAACCAGAAACACGTCGGCTGAATTTCGATATATAACGTTTTGCTGCACTTTCTTGTACGTTACCGTCCAGTCCTCGAATGCCTGCTCCAGCTTCACCGACTTTGTTACTTAAAGAAAAAAAAATGATTTTTTGGTATTTTATGTTTTGAATTTTTTTTTGTTTTTTTATTTTTTTTTATAATGTGTGCCGAGCGAGCTCAGGAGCACACACGCACTCACACAGCACTAACAGCCGGGGTTGAGGGGAGGGTACCGCCGGGAAGTTGTTTGATATATACCATCGAGCGCGTCATAGAAATTGACCAATCAGCTTCTAGTACAGTTGAAAAAAACTCCACAATGGGGCGTTGACAACTACTGTACGCATGATGATGAAATCATGCACAACCTTATTGTTAAAGGCTCAAATGGTCGTTTATATTGACTATAATGCACAGTAATTTAGTTCTACCTTATGGAGAATATAGAACTTTCTCTTGATAGCAGTTTTTATGCCAGTGCTGGAAATAATGCAGTATTGGGATTGTCATGGGCTGGTCATGCCCCAGGTATGACATTTAATCAGACTATGTATTTAACGGTAACATTTATTATCATGTGATGCCAATATTTTATTCAGCACATGTAGTATGTGGGATTGCCTCTTGACCCCTTAACATTTAACATACAGTTTTTGACTACAAGTGTGGCTATTATCTTTCACCCTTTAATCATCTGCTCTCAAAGAAAAAGACAGAGCCAGATCACTCAAACAATTGGCCTTTGTTTTTTCAGGGCCTTGTTCAAGCCGAAATTGAAATTGCTCTTGAGTGTCAATGATTACTTACCACCTGACACAGGACTCACTACTGCATGGTTAGCAGCTGTGTGCTTATAGTATGTGGGCTATGATTAGTAAGGGTTTTGATATTCAACAACACAATGTAAAAGGTTTTGTTGCTTCTTGACATCTCTCATGAGAGAGAGACTTTATATTGAGTAAATATTTGATCAGACCAGTGGGATTAATCATTTCTAGGTTGTTGTGGGGCGGTTTTCGACAGTTTAGCCTTTTTTAGTAGGCCATTTTCTGAGACTCATCCCCCCATTAAACTTAACCATCTGCAGAGGGCAGCGTTGTCACTGAAATACTGCATTAATGTAAAACCATAACTCTGCAGCCTTTTCCCACGGTGTATTTCCTCTAACACGAGGTATTTAAATATTTATTTCCTTGCTATAAATAGAGCGAATTAGATACTTTTAACAATAATGTAAGTGATATTTAAGCTAATCTGTTCAGCTGCAATAAGTCTAAAAGTGTACAAAAATATAATTCAGTAGACACCTTCTTCAAGACAGGAACCGAAGAAAATACAGAAGCACAATGACTTAACGCAAATTTAATAAAGGTGCAAAGGACTAACTTTTCAACACCAAAGTCTAAATATGTGTATGCTTATTATGTTTCTACAAATAACATATCATATATACATATTTAAAATATTTGTTCTCAATTGAGGTGGAAACTACATTTGAAATAGAGGTTGAGCTGTGGTCTAAAATGGAGTTTTGTCAAATGCATGTGCTTTGTTAAAGAGAGATGGCCAAATGTAAACTCCATTCTAAGGCTGAAGATTGCCCTAACAGCTTTTTAGAAGTAGGAACATCTATTTTAATGTATTTGTACTGATAAAGTGTGAACATGTCATTCTACATGTACATAGAAGAAACAAAAAGATTTAGCACAGAACACTTACTTTTTTAATGTTTTAATTCCACTTACATGAAAGCACATAACCAAATAACATACTCAGAGTGTAACTTGCAAATCCTGAATCCTGCGTCCCATCTTTTTAAAACCAAGATACTGTAATAAGAAGAAACCAACACTACTTTGTAACTACTAAATGGTCAATACGTAGCTTTCTACCATGTTACTTTTAATAATCAGTATGTATTTAGCATTGTTTTAGTTAGGTATTCTCTCACAATGTCCTTTCAAGAAAGGTAAATGTTACTGTAAATCACCTGGTCAAAGCTAAACGCTACGCGGAGGAAAACAAACAGCCAGTTTCAAAGAACAGCTAACCCTCATACCATACTACTGAGAACCACATACATTCCAGGAGTCAAATAAAGAGTCAAAGGGAATAAAATACACAAAAAGAAAATACAAAACACCTGAATAGAAAAGAGTAGAAAGCCACATACAAGTGCATATGGCCAAAGTATCCTCTGCACTGCCGAAAAAGATAAAAATATCAAAAGTTACAGTATCAAGCCAGTTTGTCAAGTTGTTCTCTTTGTCTCAGGCTTTCTTTACCTTGTCTTGTCTTACTGAAAATTGCAGGAAATGATACAGTCTACATGTTTCACTGGGAGTGTAAAGATGTCAGTACGATGGAATGTAATCCTCTCAACCAAAGTTTAAACCACAGTTTTCACAAGTGGCCATTCACACAGAAAACCTTTCCTCAGCCTGAATGCACATTTGAAACCGATGAGCCATGACATGTACCATCCATAAAAACACTACCTGCTAAATCAGACACTTACAGGGTGGGATGGATACAAGCAATATAATAATAGATCTAAGGGAAATTCTGCAATCTACGTGATCACTGCCATAGTCAGATTAGACCTAAAATTTAGAAAAAAGATTGTAAATCTTGAGTTCAAGTAAAGTCATATAAATTATCATAGTTACAGTCAATTAAAGTTGTGTTTTTTTTTTTCCTGAAACAGCAGTACTTTGCTAGAGTGAATAAGGTCATAGAGCATGGTGCGGATTTAGATCTAAAGGAGGGATATTATCTGAACTAGACCATGGACAAAAATTAAATTAAAATAAACATCCATTGGTTCACAAAATGAGTAATGCTCCAAAACAAAAAGATCTATTCCATTCTTTTTTTTGTGGAGGTGCTCATACAATTAACAAACACACACACACTTCTATGTATCTGCACACACACAAACTGTACTTTACACATTGTGAGTGGAGTGTAAACATACATATCTGTGCATGTATGAGCAAACACATCCACACACACACAACTTAGGCTGGTGAGAGGTAAAAAATGTGTGTTTCTGGTTTTAAATTTCCCCCGATGTTCAGTTTTTCTCAGCCGCCGGCTCCGTTTCCTCTTGCTCACCCTCGCCATCACCCTGGGTGTCAGACGTCCAGAGCTGTGGCAAAAGCAGGGAAACCAGGATTAGTGCATACTTTGCATATCAGATATTAAGTCAAGGTTTGACAAGTTATGGGACATCTATGGAAGCCTATTTTTTTCCCCATTAAAAATACAAAAAACTTTATCATGACATTGCCCAAGTCATGATGTTTTAAGTCCAAATTTAAACTTTCAATCTTAAACATTTGATACCTCTAAATTTGTACTTAAAAAAAAGCTCATCATCATGAAAATCATTTGGAAATAAGGCTGTTAGCCCCTTTTATATGAGAGATAGGCTTCCAAAAGAACCCAACACAACCACCACAGAGCAAAGAGACGACAGAACGTGACACGGTCCAAGATGAAACACTCACTGTCAGATTGTCACGGAGCAGCTGCATGATCAAGGTGCTGTCTTTGTAGGAGTCGCTGCTGAGGTTATCCAGCTCCGCAATGGCATCATCAAAGGCCTGGAGGAGACAGAGACAGCTGTCAATGTTAAAAGAAAAAAAAAAAAGGAACTGTGCAAAAAGCAAATTCCAACATGAGATGGATTGAAATAGACACAGGCCGAGAAAAAAACACAAAAAATGAAGAAAAATACACCCAGTAAGCAGCCCGTGTACAGAATTATACTACCACACAAAGTGAGCAGCAGAAATGTTTGATGGACACACCGTGGTTAATATCAACCCTTTTAATGGCACTGTACATCACTGGAAAGAAATGTACAACCCTATGTGCATATTGTGTATATAGAAGCCTGTCACCTTTGTAAATACACATGCCTTTACAAGACAATCTTTAACAGGTCATGTCAATACTAACAGTCCTTAAGATTTATGTGTTACAGTTGAACAGACACAACAGCAACTCAAGGAATGTTAACAATTTTGGAGCACCAAGGCTTTCAAAAAAAGTTCATGAATGTGTGAAAAAGCAGAAGTATAGAGTATGGTGTTTCTTGGTGCTTTTATATATGCGCTTTGACAACAAGTAAAGTATACTATTAAGCTTTCTTTTGAGACAAACACTTTGATATCACCTTATGCAAGTATAAAGGAGTTTTTCCAAAGCTGGTTTGTTAAGCTGAGCTTAATGGCCGCAAATGATAACACAGTTAACAAGCTGTAGAAAAGACCTTTAGAAATCATCTTGTGACAATTCCCTGTTTGAATGAGAACAAGAGCCAGGATGAACCTCTGCTTTTAAGAGAACTGATGTGTTACACTTGCCAGCCTGACGCCACCCTCTTGTCCTAGTTTTCACCTAAATCAGGACATTTTAATAAGAACACCAATCAGGGATGTGAGAAGAGGAAGGGTGTTACCCTTTTGGCCAGTTCGCAGGCTTTCTCAGGAGAGTTGACGATCTCATAAAAGAAGACAGAGAAGTTAAGAGCCAGGCCTAGGCGGATGGGATGTGTAGGCTGCATATCACCTTCAGCAGTTTTTAATGCTTCATCGTAGGCATCTTGTGAGCACTTGATGACGCCTACAGACAGGATAGACAAATCACAAAGTTAATATCTTCTGCTTTTACAGTCACAAACATTTTTGCCCACTATTAACAAAAGGATGCAAAAACAGAGATACTCATACTATAAAGACATAACACCTGAGCCCTGCTCCTTCTCCAACTCTCTCGAGGGACTGCAGTTAATATTTGTCCTGATTATGAAATCATGTGATGATTCTTTTTTTTAAATTATTTGTTCAAGTCTGGAAAAGGATGATTCATGATTTCCTTCAACCCTCAGGTTTCCTTGAATAGTTTGTTTCATTATATTCAATTCACAAAATCTTACGACCAATTAATTAAAAATAAAATGTCAGAAAATGATGACAAATGATAATCAGTGTTTTCCAAAGACCAAAGGACTTATTTTTCCAGTTTACTATCACAGGGGGTGAAGATACCAAAAAACATTCACATTTTGGAAATCTACAATCAAATTTGTTGCAATCAGGAAATTTGTTTTTTAAATGACTTATTAGAGACAACTCAACAATTCGTCACTGCAGCTCTAGAAAAATGAAAAAGAACTCATTTCGATGTCATTTTGAATGTTTTGAAACAAAAATCT